AATGTGTCTTGTCTCTCTGATGGAGAGCCCTTATATACTAGACAAACAGTCAGATTACATGGCCTTTCACAAGGTGGTCCCACTTAAGTATTCGCAACAGTTCTTTTATCAACTTTTCCTTGTGACACTTATTAATAGTAATTAATATATCATGCCACGTATGCCGTGTGCAATACTGTCTTAATAATATATTCGTGTGTGGTCCCTCTTACCTTGGGTGTTTCAACAAATCTTAATTTATTTATATCATTAATGAGTGGCGATACAACTTAACATTAATATTGAATATTTGTGTAATAATATTTGTTGAAGCCTAAAAATACAACAATTTGAGAAGAGAGTGTACCCTTAAAAAAAACTTATTTTTTATTTAAATTAAATATTACTTTGGAGAGTATCAGTTTTTTTCAAATGTTACATCTGTTAAAAAACAATTACTAAAAAAAATAGTGCATGTCACATATTTTTAATAATTTTAAAAGAACAACTTATATGGGATCTTACATTACATTTTAAAGTTACAAGAACAAAGACGATTTTACAACTTCTGGGTTGACACTTATGATCCACCTACAAGTCTACTGAGTAATGTGTAAGAGAGATTCTGCATAAATACGGGATTCTTTCCACAGTATAGCATTAGAATATTTGTCTACTATCCCACAACAAAAATTACCCATGGTCTGAAAATAAAACCTGTTGTAGATAATATTTCAAACCATACATTCTGAGCTACAAAAAGAATAGGTGGGTACATTTATGATTTCGTATTTAGATACAATCCTAACCTCTAATCTCTTATTAATAGAAAAATGTGAAATATCCGAAAAACTGTCCAACCCTAATTTACCAAAAACTGTAATTGAAATGCATGAAGTTATGTATAAGATTATAATTAATAAAAAACGGGACCAACCCTTTTTAATGGTTAATGATCACGATAATAAATTAATAACATACATATACGTTGATATACGTTGGCAGTACTTTTAAAAGTTATCCAAAACAGCTTAATATGTGGTATGGCTATGGTGACGTTATTAAGTTTGTATTATTTAAATATTTACCCGTTTAATAATGTTGACAATATTAATCATTATAATAATATGTATTATTTATTTATTTATATACTACCGATACACCTATACTACTTAAGTGCTTCGTAACAGTGGGATGGACGGGAATTTTTACACGGGGGGACGATATATATATATTTATAACTTTTAAGATAAATCGTAGGATAGTGTTCCCCCCCCCCTGACTATATTTTGTGCAAAAGTGGGCAAGTGGGTACTGATCTACGTACACAGATGGTGTCTTGATGGGACGCTGTAAAAGATGTGTTCAATAATTTGCAAAATTTGAACTTTAATTGGTTGTACATAAAAAATCGTGTCAACATTTTAACTCAGAGGCTCATGAAAAATATATTGTGGATTTACTCTCAACATTTTTTTTAATTTCCACTAATAAAAACTTAACTTTTATTAAATTTTCAAGTTTTTGGCACAGTAAAATTATTAATGGACCTTAATTTAAAAAAAAAAATAAAAATTTCCTTATGACCGCGGGACGGTCGTGGTTACGTATGGAGGTGACCAGTAGCCATTGAGTACAAACTCACCTCGCCATCCGGCCGTGTCAATCCCCTATACAACTTTTAGTGTCTTGCCGGGAGTTTTTTTTTTGTAGTTAAGACTTAAGGTTAACTATTACCTGCCGACTTTAAGCATTTGGCATTTTTATGGTAATAGTTTATAATTTTTTTTCTAAATAAATTGGAAAAGGTCACTTTTTTTGGCCAAAAAGACCACATTATGTCAACAATTATTACCATACTAAATTGTATTAAAAATATATTTTTTCAAATATTATTATTTTTATATATTTTTTTATGTTCCATAACATTATCAACACTCACGATGTATATTTTCGGCTTATTAGTAAAAATACTGTTACTTAACAAGATTTTTTTTCTTTTTTTCGTACTAGGAGTGCAAGTATTTATATTTGTATTTATTTTAACACAATAATGGGCTTCAGTGAATATCTCATTGCTTGTCAGCTCGTGTGAAGATATGTGTTGAAAATTATAATTCATATACTTGCAATTACCCACGAATAATATTTTTAAATTACAATAATAAATAACTAAAATTGTAATTTTTCATTCAAATATATCAAATTTCGCTCAAATATTGAAATATAAACTTAAAATATTTGTTAAAAAAAAACTGGGTTCGTGTATTTTTTGGTTACACCATGAACTACTTACTTAGGGTTTTCACCTTGTTTTCCAAATTAAGAATTTCATACTACTAAAACCACAAAATGTTTTGTAAATGTTCGTGATTTTCACGAATTTTGTCAACACTTTAGTTCTATATTCCTAAAAAAAATATCGTTGTACCTACCTAATGTAAAATCTTAAATATTTTTAAACTTTTATTAGGTATAACAATTCATAGAGAACTTTATATTAGATATTCAAGTGCTTTTTTACATCGAAAACAGGTTAAAAAAAACGTATAGGTAATAGCTTAAAAAGAATTAAAATTGTATTTGTATGATGCACGGAGTTATCCATTTTATGAAAATCCAATGAATTGACGATTATTTATTTTTAATTTTCAACAAAAAAAATTAATTATTTTATTTGATAACAAAACGAAAAATATTGAATAGAACAAAATTAAGTTATATTGGAAGATAGTAATGGTTTATTAGGGCTAGGATTTAAAGGTAATAAAAAATATACTCGAAGAAGAGTAAGGCCTCCTCATCGGCTCAGCAGCTCAGCTTTATCCCTCATGTCTGCCATGAATCAAAATAATGTTGTCTGATAACCGTTATCATGATCAAAACAAACGATTGTTGATAATCATTTTCAATAAATGATCATCGTTTGCCAATTTGGATGTAGCTGCTGGGCGCTGGCTGGAACTACGGAACCATTATCGAATTATTCTATGCTCGAACTTAACGCCCGTTTAAAATATCTGTTTACTCTGTCCGTTTTAATAATATGTCAACTACGTCTAAAATAGTATTTGGACTATCTTGTTTCACGTCTGTGGGTATCATTGGCTTCGTTCACTACCAACAACAAGACGATTTGAATAAGTTGCACGAAGGTGTCGTAAAGGACATTGAACGACAAGAAAATAAACGCCGGGAGTTAGAGATAAACGATATTTTAGTTGCCAGCAATCTTCAGGATGGGGAAAAAATCGCATAAAAAGGAACACAAAAAATCGACTCACAAAAAAAAAAAACATGTGAGTAATATTCTTATAAGAATTAAAACATTTGATTCATCAAATATTATTTGACCATATTAACTTATTTTAAACTATTTAGAGATCTTCATCATCCAGTAGTTCAACATCAAATGATGATCAATGGGTTGAGAAACACCATAAAGATGCATTGTCTACTTCCACATCATTTGCTGCACCGAAAGAAGAACCTGATAATTGGATGGATTTTGTATGCAATACATCCTCTGAAATTGAAAAAAAAGTCAGTACAAAAAGCAAAGAGCTAGAAGAAGCCAAAGCTAGAATGATTAAGGTATATTAACATTTTCACTATTCATATTTGTTATTGTCTCTAGGTACCTATATTTATTTTATTAATATTATTTTTAGCCAGGTCAATCAGAACGAGAACTAAATCCATACTGGAAAAATGGAGGAACTGGTCTTCCACCACCAAAGCCATTAAGTGGCCATAAAGGTTTCCTCAAGCCTAAAGTAGACGATGATGATGATTATCATCACTATAAAAGCCACCAGCATACTAGTTATTCAAAACCTTCTTATGGTCGTCAATCTTGGAAAAAACACGACCGCAGAGATAATGTAAATGATAACAAATATACTGCATCAAAACGAGATAATGAAGAGAGATATAAACGGCCTAGAGAATTTGATGAAAGAAAAGAAGAAAGAGATAAACACCATAGAGAATTTGATGAAAGAAAAGAAGAAAGAGACAAACACCATAGAGAATTTGATGAAAGAAAAGAAGAAAGAAATAAACACCATAGAGAATTTGATGAAAGAGATAGACGCCATAGAGATTATGATGAAGAAAGAAACAGGCAACATAAAGAATATAATAATGAAAGTAAAGGAGATAAAGATAAGCGCTACAGAGAACATGAAGATGAAAGAAAAAGTACCAGAGATAAATATTCAAGAGAATATGACCATAAAAAAGATAGAAAAAGTAAATATGACAAATACTCTGACAACGAAGAAAAATACACATCAGATGATGAAAAATATGAAGAAAAGACATTGCCAAAAAAATATTCAGATAATAATGACAAAACTAAAGAACACAAAGAAAGTGTTGAAACCCCTTTAACTGAGTCTGAATTAAATGCACTTGCTGCAAAACAAATAAAAGCAGAAATAATGGGAAATAAAGTAAGCAAAATATTTTCTAAAAATTGAAAACAATTCTTCTTTTTAGATTTTTAATGTACTGAATAAATTATAGGTTAATAATAATTAAAGATTTGTTTTCTGACTAGATACACATTTAATATACATTTTAATATGATACACTTTAAACAATTGATTATAATTTTTATTTATAGAAATTGGCTGAAGAACTTAAGCAAAAATTAGAATTAGCTCGAGAACATACTTCAAAACAGAATTACACCACAAACAAAACAAAACAAAAAGATGATTTTGTATTACTTACTAGGACTTCATCTAAAGGTTACAGTTATCCTGTTAAACAAGCACAAGTTGATAAAAATGATGGTAGGAAGAAAAAACGAGAAAAAGTATTGACACATGAAGATGGTAAAAGAGTAAGATACTTTGACGACGATGATAAATATTCATTAAAATCTATGGTGAGTTTTTAATAAAATAGAAAACTAAAACAAAAACTTTAATCTTATAAAATTTATTTGTTCTTAAACTTTAACTATATACTATTTTAGTTTGAAAAAGAAATTACTACTACAGCAGAAGATAGTAATATGGAGTTCGTAAATCTATCGAGGAAGGTTAATATTTTATTATTTTTATAGTAATTCAAATAAACTGATTGAAAAGTTTATAGAATAATTTGACATTTGATGATTTCATATTATATAATTATACTTTTAGGTTAATGCTAGAGATGATGAAGATGATGTATTTGTAGATCGTGCATCAGAAAAACGATCTGCTAAGGCATCTGAGAGGGAAATTAAACGAGCTATCGGGGAGCATAAACGTACAGAAAAAATTTTAAACTCTTGTCGTTACTGCTTTGATAGTGAAGAAATGTTGAAACACTTATTTATCGCCAAAGGAGAAAAGGTAAATTTGTAACATATTTATGTTGAAGTTTGATTTTTAATTTGTATATTAATATTTAATAGTGCTATCTGTGCTTGCCATCTTACAAATCCTTGACGGAAGGACACTGTTTAATTGTACCAATATACCACTATGCTTGTGCAACTGATATTGACGAAGATGTTTGGACTGAAATGCAGGTATAGCATTATAATTTACCATTGTTGTTAATAAAATGCAAAATCATCTGTTATAATGAATAAAAATGATTTATTATAATAGGTATTTCGAAAAGTATTGACTACCATGTTTAAAGATCAAGATGAAGATGTAATATTTTTTGAAAGTGCAATGCGACTAAACAATATGCCTCATATGACATGGAACTGTGTGCCTGTGCCAATTGAAATTGGCGACACTGCTCCAATATATTTTAAGAAGGCCATCTTAGAATGCGAGACGGAATGGGCTATTAATGTAAAAGTCGTGGACTTGAGTACTAAAGATGTACGTAGAGCTGTTCCCAAAAGTTTACCCTATTTTGCTGTTGATTTTGGAATGCAAGGTGGATATGCTCATGTCATAGAAGATGAAAAAGTTTTCCCTAACAACTTTGCTGAGGTAAGCTAATTAAATTGAGAAATAGAACAATATAAAGTATCTAGAAAAAAGTCCAATATTCATAACACTTAAAATTCTAAACATTTTTTAAATAATAACTTAAATACATCAATAAAAATAATCACTCTGTATAGTTTGTGATGTTCAATACTAAATATTAAAATCAGATATCCAATAACTAAAGACCGCACAAAATTAGTTAGCTATGATGGAATGGGTAAGGCATACTTATAATAGAAAAAAAATTGAACTTAAATTCGAAAGCCATAGCTGAAAGTTAAAAGGTAGATATTTATAGAAATAGAAAAACAATGTTCATATGCACTAATGTATTAATGAGGTATTTGTGTATTAAATTAATATTTATTAGCTGTACTTATTAGTTATTACTATTTATTACTTAGTCAACTTGAGATGAACAAGTTTTAGATTTAGTGTGTAGCTAAATATGCTTTCTTGAAACTTTATTTCTGAATATACTATCAATTAATTTATACTATATTTTGAATGGACTTAGTTTATTTTATATTATTTGATATTGAAGTTATACTAAATCTGTATAGGAAATTATTGGTGGAATGATGGATTTAGATCACAATGCATGGCGAAAAAGGCAAAAAGAACCAATTGAAGAACAGTTGCAGAAAACTACAAAATTTCTAGAAATATGGAAAGATTATAATTTTACCAAAACTTAATGATTGTACTAAATACATGAGAATAAATTGTAATGTAGTCTTAAAAATTGAAAACAAATTATATTTTTTTTTCTTACCGTAAAGATAGTACAAAGAAAATAATGTTTTGTTATGAGTTATTTTTATATTTAATTATTTATGTACATAAATAATTTGAAAAAAAAATTCCAAACATTATATTAGTTTTAAACAATTAGGTGTTTCTTAACTTTATTTAATTTCAAATAACCAATAAAAATTATTAGACTATAGTTTCCAACTCTTTGGCATAGTGAATAGCATAATCAGCAATCTGTAATGCAGGCAAAGGTTCTACTGCTTTCTTTTCTTCTTCGAGGTGGAATACGTAATAACCATCTTTGCCCAAAATCCACTTTTTCTGCGTAATAAATGGAAATTAATATTTATTTTTCAAATCAATTATTCAGTAAGACTTCAAAAAATTACCTTATTAGCAAAGTCAATTGTTTCATTAGTACTGTTGAAGTTTAACATTTTTGTGGCAGAATTTATGGATACTTTTTTGTATGCTTTTTGTAAGCATTCAGCAATTTCATTACGGAGTGTGTTCGACAGTATGTTCATAAAAAAATTATACGTATCTGATGGAACATTACTCTTTGCTTGAAATATCTAAAAATTAACCTCAGTTATACTATAATATCTAACACTTCTGGTATTAATTTAATGCATTTTAGTATAACTACCTTGTTATAACTGCCTTCCATCAAATATTGTTCTAAAGCGACTGGATGCCTAATATATGTATTGGTTTGAACAATATCATATGGGAGAAGCTCCAATTCTGTATGAAATTCAGCTACTCGATTTTGAGACAGTAAGAACAATAGGTTCAGACCTAACAAATGATATTGATTAGCAGACTCTGGTAATTTGTCCCTGGATAAAAATAAGAAACATTTTTAAATGAAAACTTGTATTCAGTATTACTTATATGAATCTCAAAAAAGGTTGTTTACCTGTAGTCCAAATAATAACACTTGAGTTGAGCCATGTATCGTTCAAAAGATGGAATATCATGCATGGCAATACTACATTGTACTCCTACTTCTAAGATGTCTCCTATAAATAAACATACAATATAACTGGTTATACTGGTTAATTAAATTTAATGAAGAATGGGTTGACTAAACCAAACTTAAGGTAACTGTAGGAAAATTTAACCAAGACATATGGTCTAACATACTTGAATGTTAAGACTACAAATTGTTTTTTTGTCAATAATTAGGTCTATTGGGTTGTAGGGGAAACTTGAAATGTATCAACAAATAATTTTCAAATGATTCAAAAACAATGAAAATACAAAGCAGTTAACTTTAAACCTAACAGTTACTTCATAAAAATATTAAGTTATTTTTTTTTTTTAAATAGCATCTACATATTCGATGTGTTTAATTTTAAGTTGGCCTCTTCAATATCACTCAAAATCTGAAAATGATAACATTAACTTACTAGCTATCAAGTATTCTTTTTGGGATGCTTCCACATTAGAAGTTGGTAAAAAGGTATGTTTAGTCATTCCAATCTGAAAATAAGAATTAAGTAAATAATTTATCTAACTTGAATACAATTTAATTTGTATGGACTTATAAATATATTTTCCATGTTATATTTATTTTATTGCATTAATTAAATTAAACATATCACTAATCACTATTTAAGTATCAGATATACAGATATACTAGACATAGAAACATTTATTTTTAATAAAATATAACTTTTTCCCATTCATTTTTATTATGTTGATTCTTTTTCTAACAGTAAAAGATTGATTATTACGATGCAAACTTGGTTGGTTTTATAAGTTACTCAAGGTATATTTTTTGTTCAGATATAGTAAGTTTGGATTCAACAATCTGATTCTCTAGGTCCCTTGAAGATAAGCAGATTCTGTTTATTGGTTCATGTATGTATAAACTGTATCTTTATTTTATGGTTAATTTTTTTTTTTTAAATGTAAATTCACAAAAATTAAGTAATTTGATAAATTGATATAATCTACTAACATTTGTTCAAACTGAAAAAATGTAAACAAATATTTGTTATTTTTTCCAGTTTTTTCTTCAAACCTAAAAGCCAGAGATAAACCTATACATTTTATATTTGACTTACTCCGATTTAATATTAAAACTTTAAGTTGGTGTTAAAACCATTAAAACAAAATTAATTATACCCATCTAAAATGTTCTGTACAAAATTAAATCAAAATGTTTATAAAGGACTAATTATTGCTAGTAACAAAATATCCAAAAAGTAAATTGAATTTATAAAAAAACCCAACCTAATCAATTCACTTGTTGAAACTTATTCTCCTCACCTTTATTTGTAACAATATACTGTTGCATTGTTTAAAATCTGGTTTTTTTTTATTCCATTCCGTCTTCAGCGTCTGGTACAAGTTTTTGATCTCGTCAAAAGAAGACGTCATATTGTCGTATCCTCGGACTTGGTGATCGGTTGTCCTGCAAAAACAAATAATCGAAGGTACAGAAGTCGGTCGCTGACAGGATGGACAAAGGCTTACTAATGATCGTAGACTTGATGAAAAACGTAAATATTAATGAATTCAGTGAATTGTGTACTAGCGTAGTCATGTACTTGTGTGTGATCATGGAATACAGCTTTTTTGATATGTCATTCGGGGAGTACACTAGAGGCATCGGACGTCCGTGATTCGTGAAATATGCATAAATAGATGCGGCCAATCAGAAAATAGACTGATAATGTCTTCTACAACCACGGTATTGCATTACAACCATGGTATAAGTATTAATATTTAATTTTGGTGATGTTGATAATGTGTTGGTAAATTGTGTATTTTGTGTTTATTGTATTTTATTTAGTGTTAGTGGTTACTGGTTAGTCTTCATTGAACAGTTGCAGTGCACGCTGGACGTCGACTTGACGTAAATCTAAACGAGGCACCAAAATACAAAATCATCCTAATGGCTGACGAAGAATTTGAGCACGACGAGTAAGTGCTGCTCTCTCGCTAACTTCTGAATAAACCTAAATACCTGTTGTTAACACATTTATAACACATTTCGAAACATTGAGTTTACGGTTTAATATTAGTGATCAATGATTACCAACGCTTAAAACATTTGCAATTTATGTAAAAGCCCATTCGACTACAAGCATAAAGACAGAAAAGTCTCTGACAAGTCTACGTAGAATCTAAGACATTCCCCCCTCCGATTGATGGGAGGTTTCATCCCTAAAAGGGACAATTCCCCCCCCCCCCCAGACAAAATCAAAAGCCAAAATATTCAACAATAATATACAACTCAAGTCAATACATTTGCAATTGATTAAATTAATAATTTAATAAAATAAATATAAATTTATAAATAAAATTCAACAATACTTTTACATAACTTTGGTTTATCAATCATTACCTATTAAATTGGATAATAAATCTATAATGAGAATGATGATAGTTGATAGATGATCACATATTTCGGGTAAATCCTAGAGAACTTATTTGCCAATCTATTATTGTGTGAATAAAAAATATATAATCAATCAAGGGGGAAATGTCTTAGTTCAGGGGAGAAATGTCTAAATACCTTACGCAAAACCATTCAATCTGTTCTGTGGCTAACCATTACTTAATCTAAATAATATATATTTAAGAATTATATCAAATTCTGGTATACTCATTTTTATAGTTTGTGATTGTGATACAATATTATTTTTTATTCTAATCATTTCTAATTTACTGCTCAACTTTGATCCATTATATATTTTTATTTATTTATTTTAGTGGTGGCGCAGATGATTTTGATGAAGTTGAAGACGATGCAGATTTAGATGAATTAGATCAACCTGAAGTAAGAACTAATTTTTGTCATGTTTGGATTTTTAGTTAAATTCTAGTTTTAAACCATAATGATGATTTTAATTTAAAGATGTTTGCATGGACTTATACAAAAACAAATTCATTACTACTTAACAGTACCAATTTTTGGCTATACATAGCGTTATAAATTCAATTGTATAATGAACATGTTTTTAATTTTAAACAGGAAAATGAAGATAACATTGATATATTACCTATTCAAGAAGCTCAAAGTCAAGTTCAAAAGTCTAAACGAATCACAACTAAGTATATGACCAAGTATGTTTTCATAAACTATCAAGTCTAAAAACCTATACATTAAGTTGTTTTATGCTTTGACCTCATAGTCAATGATAAAATTATACTCTATTCCATCTAAGAGTGAACCACTCGGCTGACCAAAACTCGTTTTTTTCACGCATTCCCACCACAAGATGGGCGCCGCCGCGAACATTGGTGAGGGTCGTCACTCTGTTTGCACGGCGGTCGACAACTAACGACGACCGGCGATGACTGTCAACCAATGACAGAACGCCTAGCCGTCACCAGGGGGGTCAGACAATGATCGGCGGCTCAGTCTGCGTGCGCGAAAGCGGTTCACTTTTAGGTGGAATAGAGTATATATAATAGTGAAACCCATAAAATATATGATAGTAAATTCTCATGAAATAAAAATTGTACCAAAATTAATTCCAGTATGGCTCTTGTTACTTTGGTTGATTCAATATTAGAAATTTACTGTTTTTAAATAATATTCTGCATACTTATTTTTTTTAGGTATGAAAGAGCTCGGGTATTAGGTACAAGAGCCTTGCAGATAGCAATGTGTGCCCCTGTCATGGTAGAACTTGAAGGCGAAACTGATCCTTTACAAATTGCAATGAAAGAATTGAAGAAACGTAAAATACCTATTATAATCAGAAGATATTTGCCAGACAATAGCTATGAAGATTGGGGAATTGATGAACTAATAATAGTTGATCAATAAAATATAGTTTATAAGCTTTACATTTGTAAATCATTTTTTAATTTAATAATTACCGAATTACAATCATGCTTTTTGTTTTTGTTTCATTGGTTTATTCAATGTTTTTATCATTTATTTAATAAAATATAAAATTTCTATAAGCATTGCACATCCAATTTTTCCATTCAAATATTATTCTAGCCTTAGCTAGATTTTAAATTTAGTTGGGGTATCAGTTACATAATTAATTGGGTAGGGTTCCCCATTTTTACTACTCAGTGTCATGGTTTAGATATTAAATTTGTTTATGTATTGGCCTTATTCTTGTCATTTATCAGTCATGATAACACCAAATGAATTCATTAATGAGCTGTCTCAAAATGAAAAATTAAATTTTGCATTGTAAAATTGTAATTAACTCTTGCTGTGTATAAAGTATATAATTAAAGCAAAATATCACATATATTTTTAGTAGGTATTAAATTTTATTTTTTGGGCAACTTATTATTGTATTTATAAGTCATGCCATATGATAAATAATAATAGTAAATTACTAAAATGTAAGCAATTTGTGAGGGGGTACTGGCGTAGCCACCCTTGAGTCAGTGCCTGATAAATACATATTGAATTTTTTCCTTAATACCTAACTGTGTGTTATATGCAAATTAACTGTCTTAATTGAGGAAAACGTAAGAAATAAGATATATTATTAGTAAATTTTGGACTGATTTGATATCTCATAAATGTAGTTAGAAATGTTGTAACCTTAAAAATCTAAAGAACGATTATACTCTGAATAATGAATTAAAAATTATATTATGTGGTAAATAATATTATATTTATAATTTCAAAAAAAATTTAATTACACATTGTGTCACTGAAATCAGTGAAATCTATCAATCTTTGCTTAAAATATCAAAAAGCAAGTATAACTATGGTAAAAATAAAGTATATGATGTAATATGTAAATACCATTATTTGTATTACAATTAAATTTTCATAAAAAAAATAATATCTATCATAGAAGAAAAAACACTATTAATCTAACCTTAAGGAAATCAGATTTGATCATTTTAGCTAAAAAAAAAATAATATAATAAGTTAATTGATATCAATATATAATTTAATCGAAAACATAAAATAAATGACTTAATGCTGTATACAATTGTACAACACAAATATAATTTACATAACTTAAAAATAAAACTATTAAATAAAGTTATATTAATTAGCAATTACCTTAAGCTATATTAGCAATCAAAAAAATTGTATACACAAAAATAAATTTAAAAAAAAGTACAATTAAGAGTCATCGTGTAGATTTCTAAATAAAACACATGCACAATATGATTATACCGGATTGGTTAACAATTCAATAATAATTAATGTAACCTACCTAATATCTTTAAATAACTGAAAAACTTTTTAAACAAGTTTTAGTTTACTATTCTTTTGTTTGCTTAATTATGTGTTAAAATTGAACAAATTATATGCAATGTGTTAATAATTCTTAAATACATATAATGCTTATTAAAACAAATTGCGATATTTTATTCACCAATGATATATACATCTAAATACATGTTATGAATTTATTTATGACAACAATTGACAAATAGCTTTAGTCATATCTGATTAATCAATGTCAGCAAGATTTGTAAAAGTAAAACTTATTTTAAATAGTTAGTTTCGTAGTAGATTCAATCTTAAATATTTTATTGCCAAATTTTAAAATAGCATTTTAAGGTTACATCAATAGCTTAACTATTGTTTTTTCATTAAAATGTAAAATTGTTCTTAAAATACTACGCACACAATTTTTAAAATAAAATCAACAAGGTTTTAATCAAATGATAATTAGCAAAAAATGTGTTTTAATTAACTCATTCAAATGTTCAGAGCTGAAAAAAATGTATAACAAATTTTTCTATTGTGTTTAAAATATACTATATCTAGCAATCTAATTCAGACTTTAATCAAAGACCTAGGCACTGTAGTTAACAATCTAGAAACAGCTTTTTCTTCACATATAGTACATGTAACAACTTGATTAATTGATGAACTTTCACTGATGCATTCTAAAAATATACATGGTATATAAACAAATTAATAAAATAACAATAATGAATATATAGAGTGGGTCACCATGTTTTCTAGAGTTAGCTGCTAGGAAAATGAGAAAACAAGATGGCCCATCCTATAGAATATTGTCATAGTTACTGTTTAAAATATCACACAATTGTTGACCGAAATACAAAAACACATTATGTTGATTCAATCAAAAACAAATCATTTCAAACATTATAGTAAGACTTAAAAAGTAATTATAATAATTGAATTGTTAAAATATTTTGACTGAAGATTGGAGAAATAATATGAATGTTTTATCATCATTTTAATGATTTTAATTTATATAAAAAGTATTTTGTTTAGGTGTAGATCTATAAATTAACTTATCTTGTAATATATCAGGAAAGCTTTCATGTAATAAAATCATGGTATTATAATATTTTATTTTATTATTAATTTGAACAATGCTATAAATAGTATTTGATTAAATAAGCAATTTTTTATGGAAAAAATATTATCCAAGTTTATTACAAGCTTTTAATAACATTAAAGATAAAACAACTAAATTGTTAGCAATTTGAATTTATTGTTTAAACTGAATAAAATGAAAAACATGTTCAAAAAGTTACCAGTGTCCTGGCTAGTAACATTTCTAAAAATGATCAGATAATATATATTTAAATTGTATTTGCAGCAATACAATTACCTTAAGATAAATTATATATGTATTGGTGGTCTAAAGGATATTTTACGTATGATTGTATACAAAATTAATAAAAACGGTTTGCCACAGAACTAATTAAAATTATTAATCACTAGTTAGTGTTATTAAAAAACATACCACTAAAATGTCTACATCATTACAAAAAATTGTTTGTATGTGTCTATTAATTTAAAATAACCAATACTCCATTCATGTTAAGAAGGAAACCTTATTGACAGCAACCAGTTTTTGATAGCTGGTGGTCAGCACTCAGTACCAACTGAGTCAACCATCCATATGTACATGTATAAAAGTCAGCCACCACAGTGCCTTCCAATATACATGGAGTATATAGCATAAAAAACAAACATTTTCTCAGAATACGTCACAAATGGTGTTTAATATTATAATTTTTGAATAACTGAAGAATATACATAAAATTATAAAGAAATTTAAGTGAAGTTTTAATTGTCTAACATTTTAGTAAAACTAATCACAATACAATTCATTATATTCATTATTTGATTTCTGGAGGAAAGTAGTTCTTAAATTATTATGAATCTGATCAAGTTGACCAACACAAAGATTCTAATTTTGAAATAAAAAATTCTAATAACTGGAATGGATCTAAAATAAAATTATATAATTAATCAACAACATTAAATGTATAATGTTTAAACTTCATGTTTAAATTAAGATAGTTTAAAACTATTATTTTTAAAATTATGTTGTTAAAATGTGCTTCTTTTAATATTATCATTTAGGTTTTTTATATCGCATGGGTCAACAATGTGTTAAAAATATCATAAAAAAGTGTAATGATAAAAAATAATCACAACAATTACAACAATTAAGCTTTTGTTATATACCTGAGTGTAAGTATCTATCACAACTGTTACACTGTGTCATGCGCTCGACGTTTTTGATAGGATAGCAACGCATGCAATTAGGGCAGAAATGGCCTTTTTTCCATGACCTGGCCAGAAACAAACCAGAATACCCCAATATGTTAATATGTATTTTATTTGTATTAAAATTGTATATGTGTTAATGATTTAAATGTAGTATTTTTTACAAGAAAACTGATGAAATGTATGTACACGTCATAAATATTAAATAATATCAACAAATTAATTCAAAATTCAAAATAACTTTCAATATGTTATATACCTGGAACACGGTGCACACAATGTACGACAATAGACTTTTGAACCAGTTTTTTCAGTTTTCTTAAACTGAAATAAATACATCATAGTTGAATTAATAAATAATAAATGAACAAATCTGCGTTAATACACAATTTCAAATTAAAACATAAAACATAAGGTTTGACAAAATATAGTTAATTCTTAACTATTACCTCGTAAAACCATTTAGAATCACCTGGTCCTGGATCAGAAACCCCACAAGAACTACACATAGCACATTCTTGACAGTGCCAACGACCTTCAGGAACTCTACGAAGTCCTACACAATAAATGTGATACCTAAACGAAAAATATAATTTTAAGTAGTCGTAATTTACAATCATCATTCTCAAATTATATTTGAACTTACCCTCTATCACAAAGGTCGCAGAACAACATTTTATCTTCATCAGCCACTTCTTTACACTGAGCACAAGATTTACATTCATTGCATTGCCAATTGTAACGCTTTATGTAGGGTATCATCTCCAATGTCATATCCAAACATGTTGGATGATCTGAAATCAATAATACAATAAATACATTCTTCATAACATAAATGCATATATTTCGATTTAATAAATTGTTCTTACAAATCGTCAAACATTTTGAACAATGAATTAATGGTTCAACCGATCCAATTTTGTTCTTATCTGCAGTGCCGAAACATGATTTGCATTCAGCTCCTTTTTTATCACTCGGACCATCCAAACAATTTTTGATTGATTTGTTGTCAACGTCAATTGAATCATCACTATCACTATTAATTAATATTAAACATGAACACTTCATGGCAAAAATGGTTAGTTTGTAAAATACCCGTTTCTGATTAAATCTTTGCCAATGAAATTAGTCCTACACCATACTATACTTAAACCTTGATTATTTACATATTCATCATGCAATTCAATATTTTTAGTTATGTTAATGTAGACATACATCTTAAAAAATTTAATTTACCTAGAGTCATCAGAAGAACTATCTTCCGATTCAGATTGGCTGCTTAAAGAAACAGGAAAGTCTTTATCTACAGATTTCAAAGGACCATACATAACAGTGTTTATTGGCAAGTAACGTAAATCTTCACTAGAGTATCTAAAAATTACAAAGTAACTTGAGAAGTTCAAGACAAATTTTAGTTTAGTTACTTTAACTCTTACGTTGCGTAGTAATCACAGAATTGTCCAGGTAGTAAAGCCAATGGATAACTGCCGATTTTAGGTTTGGGCACAGCCATTTTCTTACATTTATTTTTTGGATAATGCACAATAAATGTTTGCATATCCATTGAACACTTACGAGACTCTAAACGTGATTTGTTTAAATTGGCATTCCAATTGGCTACAGCTTCCATAGCTCTATCACGTAAATCTAACTTTGACCCATCATTGTTTGAACTGATTGTCATCAATGCTTTAGGTATAAAAATTAATATATATTAAAATAAAATAAAATTGTTATGTTTAATTATTAACTACATAAACTTTTTAAAACTATACCTCTTTGTCGATTAGATAATTCTTTGGCATGTTTAAGTCTCATATATTCTCTCAGTTCTTCATATTTTTCTGGAAAATCTGTATACATGATATCTAATACTTCCGAACTATACAGAACCGTTAGACCTATTTAACACATTCAAAATTAAAATTAATACATATAGATTCAATTTTGTTTTATAAACATACCAAGATCACATAATGATTCAGCGACTAACCCACTGTCACACAAGAATGTTCGTTCTTCAGCTTCAACATTACGACGTTTCAATCCTGGGTATTTTCTTTTGAATGATTTAACACCCAAGAAATTTGATATCTGCTCTTGAATCATATACAGTTCTCCGCCATCCAATGGCCATTGGTATTCGGCAATTTGATCAACAGTTAATGTTTTATTGCTATTATGAATTATAAATAAATACCCACATTAAAATACTATTAATATCAGTACAAGCAATTTTTTAAATAATATAATGTATTGTAAAACATAATTAAATTTACCTTTCAAGATCAATGACTTCCATTCTTCCTTTTTTCATTCTCATACTATCATTTGTACCACTAATAGATAAATCGTCTTCGCCTAAAAATGTATTTTACCAACATATTATAACATCCTAAGTTTAAATATTTTTTAAAGTTTTAACATACCTAAAATGAAATTCCTAGCAGTTGATTGGGACAAACTATTATTACAATCAGCACTCATACGAGTTTCATCATCAAAGTTTTGAGGTGGTGGAAGAGATTTCTTCATCTCAGCTGCTCGAGCCCTTTCTTCTTGCATAAGTCTTTTCTTCTCATGCCACTGCAGTCTTCTTTCTTCTGCTCTTTGCTTCTTTTTCATTTTCTTTTCTTTTAAAATATCATTACGAAGTTTTATTTTTTTTTTCCTTGCCTCTAACTTTCTTTCTCGTTCTTCTTCTTTTCGGAGTCGCTCAGCTTCTATCATTGCTACTTGTTTGGTTTCTTCTTCTTGATTCATTTCTTCACGAAAAGTTTCTCCTTCATCATCAATACGTCGACTATTTGATGCTGTATCACTATCAGATCCATCGCGGCCACGACCACCACGACCTCCTCGTCCTCTTCGCCCTCGACTACCTTTTCCTCTAATACTCTTTCCTCGCTTTGGTGTCGATGCTTCAAATGAATCAAACATTCCTGCCCCTCCACTCATGTCTTCCATATCAAATAATGGAACATGAAAAACAGATTCATCTTCAGTGCAGCCTTCTTGAACTTTTGACTGTTGTTGTTGTTGATATTCTAACAATAATTGCTTTTGTTGAGCCAACGCTTTTGGTGGTCTACCTCTTTTTTTGGGGGTATTTAAAATCTGTTGTTCTAAAAGAGCAATTTGTTCAGCACTGAGTTTAGGTGCAGGGCGAATTGTAGCAAATTCACTAAAAGATTTAGAAGGTTGAGAAAGAGCATTTTTTAAAGGACTATCCCCCATAGCAATATGTTTATTTGTGATTTTTTTTATTAATTCAGATTTAACATCTGGACGAACTGTAGTTTCAGATTTAATTTCTGGATTTCCAACTTTGGGTAACTTTAATGTTATTTTACCAAGTTTGGGGGATTCTTGAGACTTGCAAATAGGAGTAATGGTTACATTAGAATCATTTAAGAATTTTTCTACTTCATTCATTTTAGCTGATCCCCATTTAGGAGGCTCGTCATGTTTGCCAACTGTTGTGTTTTCATTAAGACAAATAGAGCTAGATGCTTCTGGTGTATTACTATGAATTTTATTTTGAGATTTTTTAATTTTAGTTGGTTGATCTTTAATGGCAAGTTTTATTTCTGCTTCTATTTTATTTACAATAGAGTCTTGACCAATTGTTGGTAAATTTTCATTTTGTCTAGTTTCTGACACAGATGACGAGTAATCATTTGCAGAAGGTTGATCATGCACTTCGGATGAATTTCCAAGCGATTCGGGGGATTTTTTTGACATAAGAGCTGCTTTTAAAATATCAGCCTTAAACATTTGAGAGTCTTTTCCTTCAATATTTTGTCTTGTATCATTATCTGGTACTTCCTTTGATAACATATTAGTGGTAAGGTTATTTTCATCTCTTACATGTATTTTTATTTTAGATTTTAGATTTTTACTTTCTGAATAAGCGATACCATCATCTTTCTGGCTATTATGTAATTGTGAATCAAATGATTCATCTTTTATTTTATCGAGAATATCGATTTCATTATTGCTTTTATTGTATTTGTCAGCACATTCATAACTGGATTCACCTATAGATTTGTTATCTTCAAGTTTCACAACTATTGGACTGGGGTTTTTATCCTGTGCTTTAAAGTTACATTGTTTGTCAACTACTAATCTTTCTAAAATCACTCTGTAGTGATCATTAGCACTTTTTTTCACAGCATCATAATCTGTACCTTTTCCAAAAGTTCCTTTGGTAAGGACATTTTCTTCAGTCGACTTTTCTTTCTTTATACATTTTTGTTCTTCGGTTATTAAGCTAACCTTTCTTTTGTCTACAGATTTTTGCTCAGCTAATAAACTTACCTCTTCTTTTACATCAGTATTTACTTGTATAACAGTAGCAGTTTGGACAGATTTAGTTTTATCCACCTCATGCAAATTATCTAGTTCAGTACTTTTTTCAACACTTTTTGGTATACCAGTTTCATTTTCAACTAGTTTAACAGACTTCAATGCAGTAGAATTTTTGTCTTCAACATTATTAATACTTTCATTTACACTAGATTTTTTTTTAGTTATTTCTTCAGCATAAATTTTGACTTGTCCCTGTTTTAACCTTATATCCTCGGCCATATTTTCTGTTATGTGATCAATCTTTTCTTCAGTATTTGATAGTTTTTCTCTAGGTTTTTCCATAGTAGTGTTAATATTTTCTTCACTAACAGATTTTAATGACTCCAACTTCGATGTTTCATTTATTTTATCAAATATTTTTGAATCAGTAGGTTCAATTTTAACTTCAACAGTTGATGTAACAAAAGTTGGTCGTTTCAATCGAGGCCGCTTTGGTTGACTATCATTTTCTGAAGACGACCCATCATCATCAATCTTGAAAATATTTTTTTTTAAATGTTCCAGTTCTTTCTTTGTTTCTTCACTAAAAATATTTTTTATATCTAAAGCATCAGAACTGCTATCAACTTGTTCGTCAGGAACTTGAAGATTGACTATAGGCTTTTTAACAATTTCTGGTGGACTGATCAATGATTTTACTTTTTCTAGTCTATCCGCTGGTTTATCAATAGATAGTGAAACATCAGATGAAGTTGAAACTTTCACACCAGAATTATTATTACATTTAGGTAGTTCTGTTGGTTTTATATTAGTTTTAGGTATTTCTGATTGTTGTACGGTGATTTTAGGTATTTCTGATTGTTGTACGGTAGTTTTATGTATTTCTGATTGTTGTACGGTGACTTTAGGTATTTCTGTTGGTTTGGCAATAGATTTTGGTATTTCTATTGGTTGTATATTAGATTTAGGTATATCAGTAAGTAGAACATCAGATTTATTGACTTCTGAAGTAGTGGAGATTGCAGGTTTGGCAACAGGTGAAAATACGGGTCGAACGAGTTTAATTCGTTTAGGATTAGGCTTGGGGTTCATATTGTCATCCTCAACTTTACGCTTATCAGAAGCATCAGTAGCAATTTTTTCTTCTTCCATATTGGTTGATACTTAATAGTGTGCTATAATACTCTAAAATTAAATCATTAAATTAACAAGTTTGATTAAAAAAATTGAACATTCTAACCATATAAACTAGAAAACAGATATATCTATTACCTACTTACAACAAACAGCAAGATTGAAGTTGGAACATCAATGATTGATGATTGATGATCAATCTTTCCTAAGTTGTATTTATTTCATACGTATTGAATTCAACACAAAACAGGATTAAGTAATTTCGACAATAACACATGAGAACATTGGAACGGGCTGGTTAAAAACACCAAACACAGAATACAGAAAACACTTTTCAGTAGTTGGTTGGACGAGTCCACCCAAGTCCAGTCACTGGCAGAGGTAGACGATAAATTTAGACTTGTCAATCGTCAGTATTCGCCAGTCGTCACTCCATTTCTATCTTTTATGGTCAATACCCCTGGCTCGGGACTCCATACTTGATATTTCAGGACTGGAGAAATTATGTTTACATCTTTCCGGTGGCCCCTTTTATTGTTTCTTAAATATTGAAAATAATGTGCATGTGGTCAAACTGTTAACGTGGTCTCATTCCTTATCATACATAAATCGCTTTTTTTTTCTAAATGAAATGTGATTTATTTCCAGAACACGATTAAAACATTTTTCTTGATGTTTTGTTGACGTTTATTACGTGTGTAGTAGGTAAATATTAAAAATCCACACTATTTTAATTTTTCAGTTAGCTAAAAGCAAGTAAAAAATACACGCACGAATATGGTTGAGGTGAGAAATATGTTTTTAATAACTTTATATTCTTATATTTAATTTGCCACAGGTACTAGTTATAAGGCTAAAATGTATATTTTGACCATCAATACGATATTTATGACTACAGCTATTGCTATAACTATTTAATTTATACTCTGTTATGAACAATATATTATTAGGAACTTAAATATACTTCAGTGAATAACATTTTACCGTTGGGCATTATTTTTAATTGTGATTGACTAACTGCTACAGGTATAGCTAATATATTCTCTGTCCATCGAGAACACTCTGATTTTAAACATCCCCACTTGACATCCTGCTATTGTCACCAGTTCCACTATGACAGGTTGTCGCGTGTAGATGTGCAGAAAAACTTGTGTATGCCTGGTTCTCTCTCTGGACAGTGTATAAATTATGGATAAAGTTACTGGCGGTTTTAATTTAAACATATAATGTGTTGGAGTAACATTATTTATAAATCAAATTGCTTAATCTCTGTAAACAACTTAAAATTTTGGTATTTTGAAAAATTCACTAATATTGAACCGATTTTAACAAAAAAAGTAATAAATAGTACATTTAAGACATAACTTTTTACCTATAAACAGTAATTTTAGGAAGGTGGAGTGAGTATACATTTGTAACAACATTTGTTATTTTTAAATATTCATGTCTTGTAAGTTCTGAAATAAATTTTTAATTAATAAGTCTTTAGGGGTGCTTATTGCTTACTAAAATGTATTGTTTCTAATAACTTGCTTTTTTAAATAATATGTTATATTCATTTAGGGAGAACCAGTTAATCAGTCTGATGAATTACCAAAAGTTGAAAATGAACAACCAATCGAAACTGAACCGGCTGTTGCAGAATTAGTTGTTAAACATCCATTAGAGAATAAATGGACATTATGGTTCTTTGAAAATAAAAGTAAAGTTTGGGAAGAAAATATACATGAAGTCGCTAGTTTTGATACTGTTGAAGATTTTTGGTGGTAAGTTATCTTTATTTTTGAGCCCTTTTAAACCCTCAAATATTAGTCTCATTTAGTCATTTCAAAATATGCTCCCTAGTATTTTTAAATATATGACAAAACAAGTCCTGAACAATGAATTACAAATAAAAACTCATTTTCCAGTTTATTCAATCACATCAAACGTCCAAGCCAACTTTCATATCAATGTGATTACAACTATTTTAAAAATGGAATCAAACCTATGTGGGAAGATGGAAAAAATAGTGCCGGTGGTCGTTGGTTATTACAGTTACCACCTGCAAAAAATAGCCAACATGTTGATGAGTACTGGAAAAATATAGTAAGAAATAAACTTTTTTTTTCGATTTAATTTTTACTTAAATAAATATATTATGTTATGTTAAATATTATTACATTTAGATATTGAGTATAATTGGTGAAATATATGACCAAAGTTCTGAAATTAATGGAGCTATAGTTAATGTACGGAGCAAAGGAACTAAAATAGCAGTATGGACAAACAATGCATCAAAAGATAATGGAAATAACATTATGGCTATTGGGTAATTAACAAAATATAATTTGGCAATTAGGCATCTACTTATGGTATATCATGACATAAAATGTAGTGTTTACTGATGGAACAATATAGTTAGTAATAACATAGCATAGACTTTAAAGTATTAAATGGTATGAAATATAACCTAATAAATCTTGAAATATAAATTAGTAATTCCAAATGTCTTGTCTAAACAATTTAAACAATGAATGTTTTATTTGAATTTTGAGTATATTTTTATTGACATTAACATTAAAGCAATATTATTAATAGTGTTAAATTTAAATTTTAGGAGGAAAATTAAAGAAGTTTTGGGCGCACAAAATGAAAAGATGGTTTATGAGTCTCACGCAGATACAGCAAATAAACAAGGATCATTTGCAAAACACGCATTTATGTTATAAATTAGCAAAGTTGAAAAACGAATATTTTAAAATGTTTAAAAATAAAATGCATTTAAAATGGAAAATAAATATTAAAAATTAAGAAAGGCTGACTTAAGTTGCTAATTTAATTGTTGTTCAAACTATATCACCAATTTGAAAATAATACTACCTTAAGAAGAATAACAAATTTCTCGCCATACATATTATTTGATCATGCACCTTTCACATTGATTTATATCTAAAAACTGTTCAGGAAGAAGCAGAACCCTTCTATAAAAGATTCTACTGGACCACGCCTACTTTATAACTCACATGATTCTCTTACCTCATAAATTATCAACCAATAAAATTTCTGGTAATCTTTTCCAAGGCACCTGAAGAGAAAATGGCTCAGATAGAACAATTAATTGAAAAATTTCAAATAGTAAGACATGTCACTGTGGTGGCTTCTTCTAACAAGCAATTTCACTGTCTTAGTTAATTAACACATATTTTTATTGTACAAAAAAACATATTGTAAGAAGAAAGAATGTGTGTAGTTTAGAATTTAGTTAAAATTTATCAGTATAGGTTATTAGGAATGTTTATAAGTTATTTTCAATAAACTGCATATCCTCTACAATTGTATAGATAAATAAAATAATAATGAACCCTTACTGTAGAAACATTCCAATTTATTTGATATCTGTTAAATATTAGAAGCCATTGTATACGTGTACACCCAGACCTAGTTTTCAAAAACTAATACCAAACTTAAATATTTATTTTTTCTCCATTTTAAAGAAAAATATGAGAACAATAATTTACCAAAACACAATTATAATTAACATAGTGGAGCAGCCAACCAGATTCCTATAGCATGTCAAATTATACGTTTTTTATTACAGTTTTATTTCGATCTTTCAATCTTTTTAAATTTAGAATGTCATTGGATCCATCCCTGTGGTAGTACTAAATTCATCGCTTTAAACGTCGGCATGTCATGACATAATAAAGTAAAAATTATAATTTATGACGTAACTGTTTACAGTGTCATTGTATGTGAACCGTTATGTATTTATAATATTGTATATTTTTTCGACTAAAATCGCAGTTGAGTTAGGGCTGTGCTACTTTTAAGACGTTCAATTTTCGCATCCATCGCCCACCGGCAACAAAAGGACCGAGTAGTAAGTGGAGACAAACTACGGAGAGGTACCTTTTAATATTATAAAAAACAAACGCCTATAATAATAACATTAATTGTTATGGGTGACAAATACCATTAACTATTTACTATTAAGCAATTATATTAGATAAGTAGGTACTGCAGTTGCAGGAAGACCACAGAACAGATTAAATCTATAAATAAATTTTATCTATTCTGTGGTAAGACGTTATTGGTTATTCACGTCTTGTTCATAGTCCAGAATCACGATTAATGATTATCAATAAACAGTGCTGTCACATAGCATAGTTTCGAAGTCGATTTACCTAAAAATTACTTACTGAATTTGATGTTTAAGACGACCGTTTTTCCCAATATAATATTATTTCAATAACTGCAGACTACTCTTTGTCGACTATACAGTTACTCTGTTTTACGACCGTACGTCACTACTCGGCTCAGTACAAGCTACTTAAGTTTATATAATATATAATAACTTTATTACATTTTATTATATTGTTATTATTTATTAATTATTATTAATATAAATTCGTCTCGCCTTCAATACCAGATATCTGCGTTACGTGATATTTAGAAAACTATTTCGTTTTTAATCGCATTGACGTCGAGACTTAAAGTGCGCATAGAATCGAGGTATATTGTTTTGATTTTAGTTCCATATTATTATTAAAATAATATTTCGTAAATGTAAGTTACTTTTAACACCGGCAGACTACGATTCGATGTCCCTTTCAAATTACAATATAAAAACAATGGCACTTAACAAATACGACGTAGGCAACGTACATTTGTTGAACGATTCGTGGAAACTATGGTATTGGAGATTCAGCGGAACTGCGGTCCCGGACGTCAATTGGACGGATAATTTGCACGGATTGTGCGAGTTTGACAGTGTCGAAAAATTTTGGAGGCAAGTACTTGCCAAAAAAAAAATTATAAATCAATATAATGTTATTATTGCTAGAACTTAAAAGTTTGTTAACTCACAAAATGTACCTACTTGAGTACTATGTATTATTTATAACTTATAAGTCAATAATTCAGTGTTGTGACTTGCATTTAATTAGATTTTAAAGCAAACATCATTAATATAATGTTAAAGCGGACACCACACGGGTTTGCACCTTTTAAAATGATCATAACTTACTTAAAAATAATGATATGAATAAAATCTTCAGAGATGCCCCAGATAATATTCTTGACCTTAAATTTTATGATAAGTCAATTTACTCTAATTTCAGAACTTAACTAGAGAGTAAAATGTTGGTATTATTGTGAATGTAAAATTTTCCATATTGTACGTTTGTAGGGCAGAGACAACAAATGCTGGTGTGGCGTCTTCTTAAGATAAACATTATTCCTTTAACTTTGTAATTGATTTCTACAAGCCTGCCAAGAAGGGGGACCCCCAAAATGTAGGACAAGGCACAACAATTTTTTAATTTATAAAACAATTAAAAATAAGAATTTGACAAGTCTTCTACTCCTAACAGTTACCTACCCAAAAAATTAAGTATAGGTGGTCTAAAATTCATAAATTGTGGAGCCGTCTAAGTATAACCCTGTGCCCAGATTTCTCTCTCCATGTACCCCGTACACCTAAATGTTGTTATTATAATAATGTATAATTTTTTATTTTTTTAATGCTGCACCTACAAATTACAATTTAAGTGAAACCGATTTTTTTATATCAAAGCTAAATATGTTATTACAATATTGATAATAATGATCAGATATTTCCTTTAAAATAATAATCATGTTAGGTATTTAACTTTTTTTTACGTAGAAATTAAAAAAATTGTATTACACTTTATACATTCCTACCTACAGCCATACTAATCATAATTTTGTGTATTTTATTAACAGCATTTTTAATCATATTAAAATGCCAAGTATGTTAACGACTGGCTGTGATTACTCTGTATTTAAATCAGATATAAAACCCATGTGGGAAGACCCAGCAAACAAGAATGGTGGACGTTGGTTAATAAAGGATAGTGGACTATTAGATCAGTACTGGATGGATATTGTAATTTTTGTTTTTGCCTTGCCCATTTCCACTGTATTTATAAATATTTTTTTTTAGCTGTTGAGTATGATTGGTGGAATGTATGATCCATACAACGATAATATTTGTGGTATTGTCTATAATAGGCGTCAATACAGTAAAATATCTGTTTGGATTTCTTCATGTGACATGGATATTGTTAATGACATTGGGTAATGATTTATTTAATACTTAGGTATATATATAAAATTCATTTGATCACAATTATTTTCAAAAATATTTTTTAGCTCTAAACTTAAAGTTTACCTTGATACAAAAGAAAAGTTGAAGTTTGAAAAACACAGTGAATTTTTGAAGAAGAAAATAAATTCGCAGAAAAAAATTTATTTAGGCCAAATGACACAAACAAATATTTAAATGTTATTAAAAATTAATATATTAAACACAATCTGTTTTATTATGATGTAAGTTTTAAAAAATGTAATATGTCTTACTATTTAAACGATAAAGGAAATTTATTATGCTAAGATTACTAGCCAATAAACAGTTAAATACTTTAGCAATGATAAAATCCTGATATATTATTATATAATTACAAAAAGTAAACATGTTATTGTTGAAAAATTATTATTGTTAGCTGGATTACATTGTTTTTTTTTTTTTAAATAACTAGTCATAAATTAAATTTTTGCTGTCATATCATTGTAAGTATTAATTTAGTTTTTTTTTGACATGTCTTAACTATTATCGAATAATGTTGTAAATTAAATATTTTAAGCCTATATTATTTTGATATAATATTTATTTATATTATATATGTACAAAAAAAGTTTGGAATATTTTAGAAAAATATTATTAAAATAGATTTTGTTAAAAATGTTTTAATTTAACATGTTCACTGCCACACGCTACCTATCTACGGATAACATATGCGAGACTATAAAAGTATACGAAAAAATGTGGTAAACAAAATATTGACCGAAAAGAATTTCTTGATAAATAATAAAGCAGTGCTTCTATGGCCGAATTATAGGCGTGTATTTTCAATACGCACTGTGGCAATCACAGATCGGCAGTGGCCAGAAAGGCCCAACTACCAACGCCGACCTGTGATCTGCAGTAGAAGTGAATGTGTTAATATTGTCACTGGTGTATCAAAAATACCACATCTCATGTTCAATTTCCAATCTATAGAAATTGATTCTGTTCAATCAAATGTATTTGTTCTTCTTTGACGTCGGCCAGGTAAGACCATACCACTAAATAAACATACATTACTGCCATCTATCTAGTTATTCCCTCTTATTTCCCTCTTTTAATATTTGGTTTCATTATCTTTCCATCCATTTCTATGTTGTCCCACTTAAGCTGTATCCTTCCTATGAAATCTCCCAACTGAATTTTCCTCCACAAAGTATTTTTCTATACACTGCCATCCTTAGTTCTTCGGATTTTCTTAGAAACAATGTTTCAGCTACATACAGAAAAATTGGCTGTATTAACATTAAATATGTTGTTCTAATTTTTAAGTTCTTGGGCTAAATTATACCTAGGCCATAAAAAAAAACATTTATTTGTAGATTGTAATCACACTGGGATTTTGGTTTGTCATTATTCTAAGTTACTACAATGTACTTTCCTTCATTAAAATTGAATTCTACTTTCTTGATATTCATTAGTCATATCAGGCAACCCTTCATATCTAAGCAATATAGGACAAAATTATAAATCAATATTACCACTTTTAAGCTTATAATAAATTGAGAAACTGGAATATTTCAATCCAATACTGTATTTGAAAAAAGAAAACATTTTCATTTTTTAATATACAAAAATACAATTTACAAAACTTATCAATACATGTTGTAAGATAAATTACATTACTGAATAAAATATAAAATAAATTTATAAAAAAAAAATATGTCTTATTAAAATGTAAATTTCATTAAGCCAACTGGCCACAAGAACCAATTATTACTTTCTCGGTTGGTAGGCCAGCTTTTGTACCACATTTCTCTATTTTCTTCATAACATCAATACCACTTAACACATGGCCAAACACAACATGTTTATTATCTAACCATTCAGTACGAGCTGTGCAAATAAAAAATTGTGAACTATTTGTATTTGGGCCAGAATTAGCCATAGATAAGACTCCGGGCCCTGTATGTTTTAGTTCAAAATTTTCATCGTCAAACTTTTTTCCATAAATTGATAGTCCACCTGTACCATTGTTATTAGTTATATCACCACCCTGACACATAAAATTTGGAATAATTCTATGAACTGTAGTGTTTTGGTATCCAAAACCCTTTTCGTGAGTACATAAACAACGGAAATTTTCTGCTGTACGTGGCACAATATCAGCTCGTAACATAATAATAATTCGACCAGCATCCTTTTTGCCAATTTTGATATCGAGATATACTTGTGGGTTCTTTGCCTCGTCTTTGGTTTTATCCTCTTCAATTTTTTTATCGTCCTTTGGTTCCAGTGTTTTACCAGCATATTGAACAAGCCAGTCATCTTCCGACCATACCGGTCTGGTTGAGCCTCTGTTGATCTTCTGTGGTTTTGCTAAATTGACACGGATAGTGCGGCCAAATATTTCTGCTTCATTCATATTGTCGATAGAATCCAACGCATCTTCAGGTTGTTCGAATTCAACAAAAGCAAATCCACGGTGTTTCTCCGATTCATAATCTAATGGCATCTAAATTCATAATAAATTTTAGAATTGATTTATTTCATATTTATTAATGAAAACCAAGGCTGATCTATGGATCCCCCTTCATTAAAATTTAAAACATTACCTGGACATCGACTATATCACCAAAAGGTATGAATGCAGATCTCAATACTTTATCATCTACTTCTTCAGCTAACCCACCTACATAAACGGTGCGCTTCAAATACGACTTGTAAGTATCGGCGTCGTTCATCTTGTTGGTAATTAGTAAACTATTCAACGTTCTTATATTATACAACTTAATTACTTGAAACAAAACCGATAACAGTCGAAAATTGGAAACTGTCGAGAGTCGAAATACTTGGCCGGTATTCGGTAATCAGTATCGTTATCATCAAAATAAACAAAATAAAAATGGCAATAATATTATTAGGTTATGTTTATTTCAAAAACAGAAAAAAACACTGAAAATTGCCAAATGGAAATACATTTTAGGTATATTAGGTTGTTTTTATTGAATTAAAAATAAATATAAACGTTTTATGATCTAAATTTTAAAGTACCATAAAAAAATCAAACAGTACTAGGTGCGCCGGGAAATTATTATTTTATTTTCTTCACGATTTTAACCACCCAGCTTCCAGAGATTAGGGCTATATTTAACACTAACAAGTGGCCGATGTTGACAATTCTGTTTGTAGGAAACATAATAATTATATAATATTCATATTATTTCCATCTTTAAAGATTAAAATTTGGATATTTTGATTTTCGTTAAATCATAATATCCACGATTCAGGACTATTATCTTTGCGGATTGTACCTTCGGTCATATCACAGAATAACAGAATATTATTCTGTGGTCATATCATATTTAATCTATTAAGTTATATATATTTATATCAGAAACAGATAGAAAATTGTCTACATAAAAATTTGAGTTATTCGTGGAAATATACAATTTTATAGTCTACTTACTGACACTCTTCGTTTTGTGTAATTATCTGTCCACAATTATCCACTGTGACTATGTCTCGACAGAACACAAGATTAGACGTTAAGAAAGTTGTAAGTATTAATTGTTTCTTCTCTCTTGTGATACCTACCAAATTATTTTCATTTTAAAATTTGATATTAGTTATAAGTTTTATTAAATTACAATTCAAATGACATTATTAGTTCTCTTATCTTTAGCTAATATCATAAAATTTTAAAATTTTGATATCCAAGTATCAATCGTATCATAATATGGAGAAAAAGTTAAGGGAAATTCGATCCAACCGGTCCCCACGATATATGTTACACGTTATGCAATGAAAACAATTATATTTCTTAGTTTTTTTCTTGTTATATGTATGCTGGTTGACATATTTTATCAATAAACCGGAGTACCGGCTTATATGGTTTATTTTGAACTGCGTATTGCAGTTTAAAGTCCATTGAAAAGTCCTAAAATATTCACTACTTCATAGAAAAAAATATAGTTATTTTAAATTCAATTCTAGATCATTGAATGTTTTGTGAGTGCTGATTCTTAGTCTCACTTATTTTATCCATTGACTTATAATAGTATAATACTTAGTAGGTACTGGATTATAATAGGACCTATTAGGTGGCATTGTACGGAAAATGATCATTATAATTGATATAAGTCTATGATTTTATCATCAAGTCTGGTGACTTTATTTAAATTTTCAACTATTATTATTTTTAATGCCCAACAAAAGAACAAATATATAAGTAATATTTAAAGATATAATTCAAGATTCATCATAAGTTTTTTTACTGGAAAAAAAATTGTTAAGTCACAAATTGTATTAAATACTATATAGAATAAAATAAATTTTGTTTCGGACAAGAATTAGATCAATCTCACAATCTCACCATATTATTAATAGAAAGAAAATATAGATAATATATTTGATAATAAAATATTATTAGAAATATTGACCGTCGTTGATTTCCATTGTAGACAATGATTTATCATTGAATTCAAGTTTAACATATCAATAACAAGGTTTACTTGACCTCAGTTATCTACTATACACCCGAGTGACTTTTTCAATTGTGTTTTTGTATACCTAGGTACTTGATAAATGTATTTTTGACTTACTTTATTAAGATTTTTGCAATATTCATATGATAGTTGACCAATTTTACCATCTTGTTATACATTTTCAAGATTTAGGTATGACTTTTTTACATGGTAACTGTACAAAATTATACACAACATATTCATAGATGTATATGACATTTTACAGAAAAATTAACTATTAGTATATACATCTTAGACAGACATATTATTATACTATTTATTTATACCTAATACTATTGCACTATACTTCTGTATATACCTGGTATATTGCACTTGTTTCAATGTTTATTAATACATTTTTGTGTCACATAATGATAAATATCTATAAATTATTTAACAAATTGTTTACAGAATTCAGAATTATTTACTTTAACTTATGGAGCCATAGTGTCTCAATTGATGAAAGACTATGAAAATGTAGAGGATGTGAACAAACAGTTGGATCGAATGGGTTATAATATTGGTGTCCGTTTGGTTGAAGATTTTTTAGCCCGTACTAATGCTGGAAGATGTTATGACTTAAGAGAAACCGCAGATAAAATCCAGGTTATAATTGTGTATACCTATATTTGAAAATGTTTTATATCCTAATTACTAAACTTTGAAGTGTTCATAATTTATCATAATCTTTTTATTTTAGTATGCATTTAAAATGTATTTGGGTATAACTCCGGCTTTAACTAATTGGAGTGCTGCCGGAGATGAGTTTTCCTTAACATTTGACACTAATCCACTAACAGAATTTGTGGAACTACCAGATAACTATCAAAATCTCAAATATAGCAATTTACTTTGTGGAGCCTTGAGAGGATCATGTGAAATGGTATTTATGATATAATGTTTAAAATAGGCATGTGTGGTATAAAAAAATATAACTACAGGTTAGAAACTTGGTAGCTGAGTTTTAGGACAACAAACAAAACTGGGAGTTACTATAAAAATGGAAACAATTTAATTGATTTAAATATACTTATTATTTTGTGTCAGGTGAAGAAATTTAATTAAATTATAAATAATAAGACTATGTCATGAAATAATTTCATAATAGAGTCAAATACTACTTAGAAGTTATTTAAAACTTAGTACAAAATATTATCCTGAGTCAGGATTATGTAATTATGAAAAACCATTTTTTTTTATATTATTAAACTGTATGAAAATATGTCTTTAATATAATTTTCTAGCGCTTAATTGTGTTGAGTTTAAAATTTTAAATACAATTTATATTTTTTCAATCCTAATTAGTGTTCAAATAGTTGTTGTACATACAAATACAATTTAAAGTATTATAATGAATTGTTATGTGTTTAGGTACAAATGGATGTGTCTTGTTGGTTTGTGCAAGATCAACTTAAAGGTGATTTGGCCACTGAATTGCGAATAAAATTCAACAAAAGGCTAGAAGACGCTATACCTGCCGGAGAAGACTAATTAGACTCTGACTCATCTGTAAATTAAATAATATTATTATTATACATTATGTTTTATTTTATTTTTACTTTATAATACTATCTCATACACTTGTTATCATATAAAAATAAATAGTATCTAAAATTACCTTTATTTTCATTATTTGTAGTTTGGTTAGTGGATGGCATTTCGTCATCACTTTCACCACCGCTTTTAGTTTTTACTGAATCACTATCAGATTCATGAGCATCATTCTTTTCGTTACTACCAGTGGCTATTAAATATGTCTCCCATTTCTTTAAGCGTTCTTCAGTTTCTTCAGGTGTTTCAATGACTCTAAAAAGTAAAAAATAAATAAATATAAATTATAATTAAAAATGAATCGATTTTAATTTATCATACATACTTATACTTAGTTTTTCCATCCCATGTTTCAGCAGTAATCTTTCTTTGTCCAAACCACCGATTATTTAATAGTAGCACACAAGCATCGGCAGCATCAGGATCCTTGAAATTAATCTGAGCAACTCCCTCTGGATGTCTCTTAAAAGAAAAACAGTAAATAATTAAGAATTATATTTATAAACAAAGTTTAAATATTCTAATATTCTAAGTTACTTAATACTTTAATAGTTGATAATTATATCTTAAATTGTCTTACTAAAAATTACAAATGTATGTTTAGACATTCTAACCCTGTAACTTTTGGGGTAGGTTGCGAGAAGTTTTTTAAATTGTATAGATCCTAAGAAATTTATGATTTTTGAAACTGTTAAAACTTAAATTATAAAAGTATTAAGAAGGTATTGTAAATCCCATAAATTATCGACTGGTTTTAAAATGATTATTTATAATGTTTCGTAATTATTACGATAGGTATTTTTGGTAATTTTAGGAAATTTTCAAGACCCTCGATACTTATGTCAAAAGAAAAGGTGTCTAACTTCTGAGAAAATAGTCAACTTCATAAAAACAAGGCTATTGCAACCACGATTATTTGAAGTTGTGCGAGGAGTTGGATAGTTCTCATAAATCGATTATTTTGAACACTGAAGTATTTATTTTAACTCCCATATACAATCAACATCTTTTCGAAACTTAACGAACTAAATTTGTATTTGCAAGGAACAGAAGGAACACATATATTTTCGATTCATGATAAAATTCGAGGGGTTTTAAAACAAAACTTAATTTATGGCAAAAAACATTGGAAATCGAAATCAAATTTAGTGCTTAGAACTAATTTTCAATCTTATAAATAAGCCATGTGGGTCGCAATAGATTTTCGGGAATAAGTTGATGAACGGATTCACATAAACGATTGATCAGCCATCAACGGTGAAATAAAAAGGTTAATTTAGTTTCTATTTTTTATAGAATCTAGATATCCTCATATACCTAACTCTATAACTTCTTTATTTGATTGAATATAATACATATCATGTACGATAAGTATAATTTAATTTTTGATAGAACTACGATTAACGGATTAAGTGAATAATTATCTAAATTCACATCAAAACTTGGGTTGAGGTAACAATGTAACATAACAGCATAGCAGTTCAAATAAAATAGAAATTCGCAATATTATTACAATATACTTACATCATACACGACTACTTTTTTCACAACGCCACATTTTGAACATTCCTCTCGGAGATCTCTTTGATATTCCAAGAGTAATGAAACATCGTTGTCAAATGTTTCTTTTTCAAAAAGATTTTTGACGATAACTACATTCTCGTGTTTTCCTCTTCCACCTACAATTTTATCAGGCCTCCAATCAAATAACCTTAAAGGAAACAAATTAATTTATTGTTAGAACATAATATTCAATGTATATAAATTATTGTTTATCATAGTGAAATGGAAAATATTAGGTACTTTTCTTGAATTTTTTTTATCTTTTCTTTATCTTTTCGTTTTTTCTTTTTCGGTTTTAGAGATGGGTCATATTTTTCGCCACGCATGGTAAACTTGGCTTTTTCCACGCGGATCTCTTTATCTCGAAATATGTAACCATCCAGCAACTTTAATGCCAGGTCCACTGATTCTATCTAAAAATGAATAAAGAATAACAATACAAATCATAATCATAAAAACCGCTGTAATTAAATAGCGACGAGTTTTGTTCCTATAGTCATAAACTCATAAGTTATAAATTGCGTCATTGAAATTTAAAAGCTTAAGGTCGTTTTAATGAATTTGTCACGTTATTTTCTGTCAATAATGGACGTTTATGATGCCATCGTGTATACAAACACAATGAGTAATAAGTTATTACTTAGGTATTACGTTCATATACGATGGCATCATAAAACTAATAATAATATATGAATTATGATTAACATTAAAACTTGTGTAAAATAATGAATAACCTCATAACTTGAATATATTGACGGATGATTGATAGAGATAATTGTAGGCCTGAGAGATGCATATGAGGCCCTTCATAAAATAAAGAAAAAATTTGACCTTGTCATTCTATACAGCCTACGTGCAACTGCAATGGCGTAATGTCAGTATATTTTAGACTAATAAGATGGGGTATATTTATTTCTTAATCGTCGGCAGAGTTTTAACGGGGAAAATTAAAAACATTCAAAGTTCAAATTAGGTAAATACGTCTTGAGGATTAAAATGCTACCATTTTGAAGGTCCAGTACAAGGCTGAATAGTTTTGAATTAGTAGGGTTGAATAGCAAGATTGTGGCAAATACAATACGAGTTTCCCCTAGCCACAAAAATAGAACGCCAATGGATTATAATATAATTAGGTAGGTACATAATATGATTATTTATCTCAACGTGATAAGTAGCCAGGTAGGTAATTACAATTGATATTATATAATTGATGGTACCTATGTACTAAGTTTACCTGATACCGATTTCTGATTTTTACATTCATCAAACAAAAGTCGTATACGAGTATCGATCTTAGTTTACGATTTAAAATTAATAAAAATTAATAGTATTAAACTAATAAGTAATAATATACTCAGGAACAGTGCTGTAGTGGAGGGTATACACATCCTACCCAACTTACTTAGGGACAAAAAACATTTGAAACATTTGAAATTGTCCACGAATTAAACTATAATATACCAACTGATAAGTTTATTATATAATAAATAAATCATTAATTGTATAATAATATTGACGTACATAATTGTATACATAAAAATAAATACGAATATTGTATATTGTAGTCATATATTAGGCATACTAAAAAGGCGCAAACATCAAGGTTCTCATAACACCTCTATACCTAAACGCATGGCAAACAAATTGATTTGTTGAAATTTATTTGGTTTTTACGTAACTATCAATATTCAACATCGCTTGTTTAGGTTTTTATAATGTTTGCACCCCATACATAGATTTTAAGTATAAAATCGGCTATTTGCGCATAGGCAATTATAATTTTTACATTTAATACCAAGGTACGAAATAACAATGGACACAAAAGCTTTTGAGGAGTGGTAATTTAGATTAAAACAGTTTAACAATGAATAGTTTTTGATGATAATAATTATTTCAGGAAGGGCGTTAACTTGCAAATTATATTGGTTTTTTAGGAGTGTCTTGGGGGAAAATGTCTGAGATTATACAACAACTATCATCGATAATTGGTATAAATATCCAACATTTAAATATTTAATATTATTACGTAGATAATACCTATATTTATGAAAAACCAACGATATAATAAAAATATATTTACGAATTATATAGGTATGTTATAAAATAGGTATGGAGGTAGGTACAATCCATTTAACTTATGTTTCAATACGAATCTGACTAAGAAAAATTAAAAACAGATTACTTCGTCAACTTAAACATTATAAATAATTGTTTGTTAAGTGAAGTAGATATAATAATATGTTTAACTTATTTTTTTATATATTATAAATTTGATGATATTTAATATCGGTATCGATGAAATAATGATTAATTATAGCTTAAAACATTAGAACAACTATTTTCAATGTCGTGTTATTAAAATCGAGAAATACCTATATAGATAGTAATCAGAGCATTAAAAGTAATACCTATAAACTAGAATCGTTAACCATTATTTTTTTTATGGATATATTTAACATGCAATGTCTGCGATAAATTAAGTTATGAAAAACAACCGTAAATATAAGATTACATTTTTTTTATCTTTATTTTATTTAAGACAAAAATGAGTAAATAATATACACACGTTGAAATTAGTCAAACAATAAATTAAAAAACTAAGATGACTACTTAAAATTTTGAAAATATAAGAAGTATCAAGTATACCTAACCTATCTTAGAAAAATATAAATTCCATCTATGTATAATACATATGACTATATTATGAAACTAGTAAAAGAACCTAATTAATAAATAATAAAAAACATCATACTTATAAGTTTCAGTAGGTACACATGCCAAAACTGACTAGTTTATTTGGTTAATTTTATTTTTTATTATAAGTATCAAAGTTTACTGGAATTCGTAGCGCGATGTTGTATAATTGGCTGGATGAACAAAACTCGCCCGAAGGTTGAATAATGAATAAAAAATCGTAATACTGGGGAGTCTATAGAAACATTTTAGTATTAAAGTGTAACTGATCTAGTAAAGATCAAAATTTCTTAACGTTTTTGCGTGTTACTTTTTCAAACTAAAAATGAATTTTAAAATATTAGCAGATTTAAAAAATGTTTATCTTTATTTAATATTAGTTGGTACGTTTAAATAACATAAAAATAATTTACCACATATTTTTCATAGTAAGAATACATTTAATTTTTACTATTTACAGTTGCCTTTCATACGTGTGAATCAAAACTGATGTACAATTGTCAAAACGGATTTTCAAAATTTGGAAGTAACTGTTATCATTTAAGTAAAGAAACAGCAACGTGGCAAGAAGCTTTTTTTGAATGCAAAAATTTGGCAAAAGGAAGTAAACTCGCTGTGCTAGCCAGACAAGTAGATGATCATAATATTCGAAAATTTTTAAATTACAGAAAAAATGGTAATTTTCTTAATTTGTTGAACAGTTATTAAATTAGAGTGTAAGCAATACAAATAAGTAATTTACAAAGATGTTTCAATAGTTTTAAATACCGAAAATATATAAGTAACTAGATAATTAATCTTCATAAACCATAAGTTTATACATACACATGTGTTTATCTGCCTATACATATAGTATACATTACCAGCTATGACACAATAATATAAATTTATTTTTAAAATTGAATTATTTGTTAGTATAATTTTATATGGGCCGCCTAATTAACACAAATGAATAAGAATTATTATTTTTAACTAATAAGAACCAAAAAGCATTAATTGATAGTTAATAATGATTAAAATAAGTTCAACTAAGACAGTCACTGCAACATAAATTATATTTGGCCATAACATTTTTTTTTAATGACATGAATGCATGTCAAAAAACCAAGGCTCAATACCAAATTAAATTGATATTTATAAATAATATTTCATATTCCTAAGCAGAACATCTGAACATTATTCGGAGTATTTTAATCTATAAAGCTCAAATTTTAGACAAATAATTCATAAGTTATAACTTACAAGCATTTAAAGTTTAGATGAGCGGAATAAAGTGGTACAGAGACCCACCAAAATGTTGTCCGCTAATTAAAACTTTAAGTACTTACCTATAAGTTATAAATTATAACTTTACAATGAACTACTTGTCCGAAGTTTTATTTTTATAGATTGAAATACTCCAAATATATTTTACTTCGGAATATGAAATTCATGTATATGGTGTCGTTTAAAAAGTAAAAATATTAAAAAACGATAACGATAAAAAATACTAAAAAATATATATTATTTTCAGATGTTAATTTGAAATGACATCAAATTATATAAAAAGAGTATTTTCAAAAAAGTTTTTGTAATAATGCGAGTATAGACACTTATTTAAATGGCTGGTATCTATATAAATAAAAGTCAAAAGTCTTATCTATAATCTATGTTTGTTTTTTATGCTTCACTACAAAGGCGGTATGAGCACCCTAGGCTTCTAGATTAAAACACCGTCACATTAGAAAAACATTAACCTCATTTTCCATGAATATAAGTTAATAATAACTAAAGAGTTCGAGACTTCTTGCATATTTTGCTGGTTTTTTTTAGTAGATATAGATTATTCTAGGTAAGCTATAAATTTGTTTTGTGATGGCGAATTAATACTAAGATTTAGCAATTTTTACATATTTCGTAATTTATTATATTTTAGAAAAAGTGCATATTTGAGTAATTTTTAGCATATTTGTGCATATTTCGAATTTTTTTTTATACACGGAATGTTATTATGAATAATATTCAAAAATATTTATAAAATAAATAATGTTTGGGTAGGTATACACGTAAGATTTTATGAGTCTCTTTATCGATTAATAATTGTTCAACCTTGCTATCGACAATATCGACAATTCCATATAGTTGTGGTAAAATGTAATAAAATTTAAATTCTGGATTGTACGACGAAATGAAAATCAGTACGTGTTCGTATATAATGGTGTTCGCTAATGACATCACGTTATTCGTTATTGCTTAACCAAGTACATGTGCCAGTTTTTATTAAAATGAAGTAGATCTGTTTCACGAGTTTCAAAAATAAAAAATGCCTCAAATGTTTTGGGTTATTTGCAATAGGGTCCGTATTGATCAATACATATTCGAATTAGTAAACCCATGTATTATTTTTATAATGTTTATGAACCTATATTTGAGTTTTGTATTTACAAAATTGTAATGTTGTATGCGTTTTTCAAAAATAAAATTCAAAATTATCATAATATATTTTTACGATTTTAAATATATATTTCAACAATTTTTAGTGCAACAATTGCCGAACCCTAATAATAGCAGTTATCCTAATTAAGTCAGGTAGCTATATAATAATTCAATGTTTTAAGAGAAAGAACTGACAGAAGTAATTAATTAATTATGTCATAACGTTTATTGTAATCAAATATTTTATAAAAATGATTTATTATTTTTATAAGAACAAAAATATTTATTAATACCAGAAATGGACAGTATTGAAGATAAGTGTATCTTGATACCTTCTTTTGTATCTTGTACACGATACTCATACACTCATACTAATAGACAAGAACTGCGCATGATATTTTATTCTAGCATAGTGCGAATTATCTCAACATGTATGAATGATGTCTTGATGACAAGTGAGATATAAACAATTATGAATACATAGTATAGTCTGTATAATCACAGAACAATATTGTAATACAGTGAATAAAATGGTAAACCATGCACACGGAACTATATTTATCTAATTATACGCATTGACTCTGTTGATAACACACAGTGATCATAATAGTTTTGGGACATAATTGTAATAACTAATCTCGTAATTAATTATATAACGAATAAATTCAGATAATGAATTGAATTTCATTTTAATAAAATACAATTCAGGCTCTACGCACCTAGAGCCCATCCCTTACCAATACTAATTATTAGGGCCCAGATGTTGATACTCTAAAAAATCTATAAAAATACCCTAAAAAAATACATTTGACAGAACACTAAAAATGTTTATGTACATGTTAAATGATCTGAATACTTAAAAAAACGCTCATATAACTGTTTAAATTACAATTTATAAACATATGTAATAAAATTGTTTTTTTCCCTTTCGATTTGTGGAAAATATAAAAATATAAATAATTTCTCAACTGTTAAAAAAATTTGTAAAAATTGTTTTAAACTTCAAAAAATGACATAAACGCGAAAAACGCATAAAAAAATTCAAAATAAATATTAATTCAATAGATTCGTATGTTAATGAAACACATTTTAATCTACGGAAGCATTGTCTATGATGTTCCAAAAAATATGTAAAGGCCATCAATGCCCTATTTATTATGGTCTATGGAGTTAGTTGAGTACATTTGTTAATCATTCCTGTTAAAGATAAACATAATACATTACACTACATATAGGCAGAAATCATTGAAAGCTTGAAAATATAGTTGTAGTTGCGTGGGATCGAGCCCCTCCCCCTTCCTAACCAGTTATATTAAAGGTACTTAATTTAAAGTTAAACACTTTAATGGTGTGATAACACAGATAAACGAAAATAAATAGAATATGAACTTGAACATTATTATACATTTTAATCCAAATAATGGTAAATATTATAACTATAATCACTCTCAATATTTAAATATTTAATATTGGTCTATTTTTATTCTTTAGAAACAAAAGAAAGATGGATAGGAGGCATTTATGATTGGAGCCAAGACCAATGGAAATGGGCAACGTCGGGACGTAAAATTCGATACAACAGATTTGAAACTGCACAACATTTTGTTATTGATCGAAATGATCAATGGCAGTGTATATCACTGGATCCAAATATTGATTACAAATGGAATGCACAAAGCTGCTTACTAAAAAAAAACTTTATATGTGAAACAAAACCTCAACCAGAGTGTATGAATAATATAGTTTAGAAACATTGATTAATTATCCATGAAAAAAATTTTTAATTTTAAATCAAGTACCTACAGGTATATAATACATATTAAATAAATGATTTAAATAATATTAAAAACGTTTCCTATTTATAACTTTTAAGTTATACAACTATTATTTAACAAATTTTAACATTATATATACTAACTACAATACAAACTACATGTAAACACCAAGTTTACACAATGCGTTCTAAATGTATGTAAATATTTGTCATTTCAATATCTGTTACGTTACCATTTTTTTTTTTTAGGGTGGGATAAAATTTTCACTCGCCCGATAATTATAATTTATAAAAATTAAATACTACCGTTTACAAAACTACACGATTAAATAAAATTGTACATGGTACATTAATATACATGGTTAAATATTAAAATAATATATTAAAAATCCCAACAAAATATCTTAAGATGTAAAAAATCATCAAATAGTGTATTCGCAGTACAGATATTTTAGTATTTTATTATGGTACTGAGATATACAAATTACAAGGTACCATATGTTTTCAACAATTAGAAAATAACCACAATTAATGTAACCTTATAATGTATAATTTAAAATTGTAACTAAGTAAAAATCTTCTAAGTACAAATTACTTGCACAGTACATCCAAATACATTTCTATAGATTTAATAATAAATAGACAAGAACTAGACTAGACAAGAGTTTGGGATATCAATATTGAATTGAAATATCGATATCGTTGAAGAAGTCTAGTATTTATTAATATACTAATATAATTATCAATATTTATAATACCTTAATATATGTGCATAGAGCGTCTCCTTTAAGAATGTCTGTACCCCTCTCAGTATAAAGCTTAATTTTCATTTGCCCACTGTCAATATCTTTCATGATCAATCCACATTTTTGCATTAAATCAATAAATTCTTGTTCAGTTATATCTAGTGGTAAATTTGAGACATATACTTTTGTGTTATGCTCTTCGTCGATCTCAAACCAATCTTTAAATAAGTTTAAAAAATTATTAAATAAACTGTTTTCTTCAACTTAAAAATAAGTTTATTTTATTTTTACTTACTTGGTTCAGAAGGTTGGGGGAGTTTCCTTTTTTCAGTTTCATGCTTTTCATCTGAAGCATTCAAGGTAGATTCGGATTGATTTTCTTTACTTTGAGCTTCAATAGTATTTGTTTTTAATGTGTTTACACTATTTACGCTTACAGTAGAACTTTCATTTGAATTAAATCCATAGCTAAGTTGGTAATGAGCCATAAAATCATCATCAATCTACCACAATGTTAATAAATATTAAAATATTAAATACATACAATTCTTTAAAAGACTAAAATAATGCAGAATATATATTACAGTAATCAAAAACATTTTATTTTAGATTCTGAGCAGACCAATAGTCATTGGTTTTCTGTGTTTTTTAGAAAGCAAATATTTTAAAAACATATGTTCAATTTGTGCATTTAACATGGTAATTCTTTTAATATATAATTCTTTAAAATTATAATACCATACATTTATTAAACTATTTTTTTTATGAATTTTAGCATTTATACATTTTAAATCTAGCCAACAATCTAACAATAATTAGATCTTCTATTCATGTACAAATAAGTGTACATTTCAATATACGTTTATGTTTTCTTATTGATTAAACCAATAACAAATACCAAATAGTGATATAAGCCATTTCTATAGATGTCTTTATTGTGTAGGATTAATATTGCAGACTCTATAGTTTATATAGTCTGGACTATAATAAAGTGAACTATTTATCGTATCTATTATTTTAGTTATTGGAAAATTATTGTTATTTTTATTTTATTATAAAATATAAAGTATCTATTTAATTGATCTGCATTATTAATTATCATAATTATTTAAATACCAATAAAAATCTACTACGTAAGTCTGTATTATGTTCATTTTTAACATATTATACACTAGTTTAAAATGTACCTTAGGTTACTGAATTTAGCCAATTAGAGCTCATAAGAATACACAATGTGGTAAGACAGAACCATAATAATTTACCTTAGGGAACCAAGCATTTTTCTCTCTGTCCCAAATATAAACTGTTCCATCAGCTGGATCAGTATATGTTTGAGTTACACCGTCATGTCCATACTTTCCTTTTGTCATATCTTGCCGCTTAACTGTACGCTGAGTTCTTCCTTTTTCATCATCATCATCAAATTCTTCTCCGTCATTATTATCATCCAAATCTTTTTCTTCTATCAAACTTATGGTTTCTTTTTGTTGAACTTCCCATTTATTTGATTTTAGATCCCACAAGTAAGAAACATCTAAAATAATAATAATTTAATTGCAAATAAAACATTTAATTGTTTTACCCATAAAATCAAATAATAATTGGTATAGGTGCAAATGTAATTTACTGGATATTTTTGTTTTGTAATAAACAAAAACTACAATAACAAATTGTTGGTTAGATTTTGTAATTTAAAGCAACAACAATTATAAGTATGCAGATTAGAAAACAGTAATTGGTAATCTCAATTTATTTTGTAATGTAAATAGGACATAAATACTTGTTTGTTGATCAGTATATTTGTATGTTTTACAAATTTCATCATATTCATAGTTCTCAAAGCCTTTTTCAGCCCAAGTGCTTTTTTCCTTATTCCAAGTATACTCTTTCTTAGTACTTGGATCTGTGTAAAAACATACACCATCTATATATTTATAGTTACTGTCATCAGAGTTTGGAATATCTGGTGGAACCGATGTTGAGATAGATTCCATATTGATCTTATTAACTACAAGTTCTAAGACAAAAATAATATTAAACCTTAATCATTAAAAAATGGAGTGTAAATATTTGAATACTTACAAACTTCCATGATAAAGACCCAGAAATTAACTATACTATACAATATCTTATGATTACAAATAACTAATTTAATAGCTTCTTCATTTTTAAAGTTCTCCTTGCAGTTAAAATTAACAAATATTTAAATCAAAAACGTATAATTAATTGTTGTAAGTACTGTATAAACTTACTACTAAGTAGTAAGTAGACAACAATTGTCAACTATAAATTATGATTAATAATAATTGTATAGATAAAATTGATTATGTTTTCGTTTAAAACGTTCTTAGTTCTTATCACTTTTATACTTTTACCTACCACACAACAAAAACTAAAAAATCAAAACACGATTTTAATATTTTATATGCAAACGCAAAGTATTTTTTGCTACAACTGTAAATGATGAAAAAAAGAGTGGCCAACCCTTAGATATAATATACGTATATTTCATGGACATATAAACATAGATGTATACAACAAGTTGTTGTATCTATCTATGCATATAAATAAATAATTTATTAATTTTTTTTTTTGTTTGTCTTATTTATTAATATATCTATGGTATAATATGTATATGATATATGATCACAATTCACAAAATAAATTTAATTAAGTTTTCATTTATTCTGTGATAAGGGCCAACCCACATGCCCAATTATATTTAATATCGTATTCTTACTCTATTCCAATTACTAGGTAATATAACGTATGCTCCGACCATGAACTAAGATATAGTATAAGAGTACAATTGTACAAATAAAGGTAAATCTTAGTTCATAGTTCCGTCCACGGTTCCGAAATTCGACCTGCTGGCATTTAGCATGATGAAGTAGGTATGATTTTTCGTCATAGTATTAACAGTATCAAGCACGAATTAAGATTTAAGATAATATTATATTCTATTATTCTATGGATGTATTCTATATTCCTAGATAGGTGCAAAAATAATAGTACCTATTATTATTCGTGGTAATGTGGTATCAAGTCTTTGTATTAACTACCTTTAAATATCTTAGTCCGTGGTAATTAGTATATTTATACTCTGTCACTCTCCTCATAGACTACAATGATTACTCTATAATTGGCCAATCGCCAATCCAATGCACTAAATAAAATCTGTGGTTCGGCAGTTCAGCTAACATGAAGACTAGAATATTCTATCAATTTCACTTATTCTGTGACTCATATTCTCATATTCTGTCTTCATTTCAGTTCTTTTGCTTCACGATTAAAGATATACTTATAAGAGTTAAGATACCTATATCTTAAATAGTGGTTTGCAGATACATGTAACTGTAAGCCGTCATGTTCAGTTTATTCAAATTCCCCCTCAATTTACTTTTATATTTTGTATTTAATCGTTTCACTGATTCAGCTAATGATCATTAAATTTAAATTAATTGAAGCGCGTCGTCTTTGAAAGTTTACAATTATTCGTTTATTATTTAATAATATTAAAATACTAATAGGTACCTATTTTTTTTTTTAATAGTCAAGTGATGTGATTATTTTTTCAGGAACCAAACTCATTTTTTCGCCAGATTACCTTGAAGTGTATCAGAGCTTTGATGTCAAGCTTTTGGGGTGGGGTACTTACCTAGATATATCTTTACCGAAACATTTAAAATTTCAACTGTCCCAGAATACAGTGTAGTAATCAATGCTTGATTTGGAAAAAAATTAAAAGGGGGGCTCAGCTGATGTTGGATGAAAGAGGGTTCTACACAAAATTAACATTGAACCATAACATTACCGTGGGGTAAGGCCCCCACACCCTACTCCAGAAACAATTGTACCAAAACAATATTAAATTCCTCAAATATATAAAAAAAAAATTGAAAAAATTATTTATTAATTTCTGATAACTGATAAGTTTCATGATTTTATATCAGAAGCAATCCACTGCAGCTGCTAAGAATTAACCATGGACTAAGATGTTGAAAGAAAAAAAATAAAACCATCCATTTATTTGTGTTGCAATAGTTAAACATTTTTTATCTGTATTTTACAGTTCTAAGAAGTTTTAACAATTCATTTTTTTTCGAAGATACAAGGTAAAAATATTATGGATATTATATTTTGCATCAGAAAACTGATTAACTTAAATTTTCTTATTCACTATACTAAATATTTCGTTTCCAGTACTCCGTTTCAAAAAATATAAAGGGTAAGCTGATAGCAACAAAAAGGGGGACTTCGTAGTTTGTCCCCCCTTCCAAAAAACACTGGTAATAATACTTATAAATTATAAATTATTCATATATTTTTGATACCATATTTGACATATTTAGAATTTAGATAAGGTTATTTCCATAAAGTTATTTTTTGCACAACCAACTGCAGGGCACGGCAGTAGAGCACTGGTGGCTACTGAGTGATATTAACATTATAAATGATCCTATATAAATATGTATTAAGGACAAGAGCGAAAAGGTACTTTTTTATTGTATGCATAGACAATTTTTAAAAGGCCACACACAAAAATTGCACTAATGGCATACTACACGAAGCCACTTGCAATGCTTTTCTCACAATCCATAAAAATGAGAGATTCTTTCACATAGATACTCGCAGACTTAGAAGAAAAACTGCCATAAATAATGCAGTTTAGCTCCCCAACGATTTTTGGAATTTTTTTGAAATCTATGAATTTTAACGAGCAATGGTTCAATCAGATTTGGTCGGGCGGACCTATTTTCAAATGGTAATTATAACATTTTAAGGCTCGTGACTTTGAGTATTCCCATCGGTTTTATTTTTTTTTTAAATTAATTTATAAACAATAACATAACAAGTAAGTACGATAAGTAATTTCTGATTGCACCAAAATGCTAAAGATAAAAAAGTGACATATAGGTAGGTACGACAAAAATCTAAAATGTTATATTTTGTGTTTTAAACTTGCATGAAAACTCGATTATGATTTTGTACCTCGTTAAGTGTTGAATTTAAATTTAATTATAAATTATGACATACGAAAGACGATTCTGAGCGATGACTAAATTAGGTACGTTTAGTAAATTGTATGGTATTTATACCATTTATATTAATAAAGTAGGTTAATTTACTTTACTATTATTTATACGGAAGGTTGAATTGATTTTGGGACGAAAAAATCGACCATAACATTACATTTGGTATATAGATTATAGAACAAACATATCATTAAATGGTAAGTGCATAGATTCCAAGATTCTATCGTATAGTTTTTTTGTGATATTATCCAGCTTTTTTGGAAATGAACAATATCGCAACAAGAGGACTTTCATGAACTGATAGTATTTTTACTATTTTATAGGTTCATGTCTGTATTACAAAAAATAATTTATTTGTTTGATTATTTTTATTTATTTTACATTTCTATTTATTTTATTTACTTTCATTTCAAAGGTACAGACGTACACTGTATACAGTGTACAGTATATATTAAAATGGCGTTCCGTCTCATTATTCAACACTATAACTATTAAATATTTAAATAGATAAAATAAATAATATAATTGGATTTATGTGATTTATATATTTTATTATTAATATATTTACTTATTTCATTTTGGTTTCCATGGAAATTGTGTGTAGTGAGCATAATTTCGTTTTCTGCAATTTTTTCGGCTTTGTACTCCCCTTAAAGAAATTTTACATCGATCATTTTTGCAAATTTTTAAGATCTTGTCGAATTTGGAATAAATTTATTAATTTGTCAAAGTATTTATTCTACTTTAAGACGTGACACATAATGTACACAAAAACACACATCATTAAACCAAAACATTCATTGCTCAGTCCTGAACCTTAAATGTACGTATATTCAAAAACGTAATAAATGTATTATATATTTATGTTATAACGATTATAATTATACTTTAATGCATTGGATTGTTATGTAGCCGTGTAGGTAGATACCTATATACTGCAGACTGCAGATCGATTATATTTTTAAACATAAAATAATTAAAAGCCTAAAACTCATTATTTCAAAAATGCCAGCTTTTAAAATAAAAAGTCAAAAACTAAAGTAACGGTGTCTTGGATAGATAAAGTTTTAGATTTTAATGTTTTGTACAGAGTACATTCCATATTAGACTATATAATATAATCTACTTTAAACGTAACACGCTCTTTTAATTTATTCACTATCAATATGTATAGCATATTTTACATTTTTGCAATTTATTAAAACTTTTGGATACTAAAATACAATCTCCTATAATAGGTAGATACCTAGTATAGTAAGCTGAAAATATTATACCTACGAATTACTAATTGTTCATGAACAGTGGAAATTTTCAGCTGTGAATTAAAATATTAAAATTAATTTGATTTATTTAATTCAATCCATAAATCTATAAATCTATAATAGTTCTTAAATCGTGACGTCATATAATTTATAAAGTATAATATCAAGATTCAAGGCTGTCTATAAAAATATTTTACACCAATACATTTTCATTCGCTAATATACAGACATATAATTATGTGGGTAATCATAAAAAATATATATAAATCCAAAACATTTCCCGCCAAAAGTAAAAATCAAATTCCAAAAAATGATATCTACCTATACAGATACAGATTACAAAATATCAAGTGTGGTTATTTTTTCTAGTTGTTTACTTATTCCATTTTTGTGCGGTGTTTGTAAATATGTACTTTGTAATGTTAGTATTACAATTATTTTAGTCTATACTGTTTAATTTATTATTCATTAGTCATTTGAAATTTGAATTTGTATTTTCATTATTGGTTGCCAGTTAGTTAATGCAATTTTATGATATAATTTCTTATTTTAAACTAATATGTTTTATTAGATTATAAAACATATTAGTTAGATTATATTATATCTATTATACTTCATATTATTATAACTAGGGGTTATAGTCTTAGTGCAGTCTACAGGTGTTGTTTATTGTTATCATAGTAAATACAGATCTGAAATTCTGAAATGATTTCTTTTTTATTTAAACTAATGACTAGGTTAACAGCATACAATGACAAACAAAATTATATTCACAACAGTCACAGCTCGAGAACAATAAAGTTGGCATTAATATGTTTGTACACCAAAGAAATCATTATTTTGGAAAAGCCTGAAAAAGTATAAACGTCTATATATTTGACACATTAATAACTTTTTGTACTAGCATAATAATTTAATAATATTCTAGTCATCTATAAGATTAAGGTAGGTACACAATTATATTTCAGTTATTATATTTTGGTCAAGAGGATTTGAAACGCTGAATACATGTGAATTAGCAATAATGATAAAATTTGTCCTTGGCCTTATGTATCATATAATATGATTATTCTTTATCTATTATAGCTGGCACTTTGACATGTTAGTCATTTTTGTATACTAATACTCACCGGTCACTAACACTAATTATTTATTTTATAGAAATAATAATTCACTAATGGAATTATGATAGCAGCTAGTTGTAAAAGCCAACTTTTTAGACAGCATCGTAATCGTGTCAATCTGTTTGGTGAATTTTCAAAAGTAACCGTGATGAATAACTGTAGACTTGCTCAAGATACATTTGTATTTCGACAGGTTATTTCTGGTTTTTTTATTTTTATCTATAAACATTTTATACTTCCGATAATTTTAGCTATTATTTTATTTAGTTGTTTGATCAAGAATCTTGGACATATACTTATCTGTTGGCTGATTATGTAGCAAAGGAAGCAATAATTATTGATCCAGTTATCGAACAAGTGAACCGCGATCATTCAATACTTAAAAGACTTGGTTTAAACCTTTTATACTGTGGTATGTATTTTTTTATTTCTTAAATATAATATCTCTATTGATTTCATGTTTCAATTATTATGTTTAATATGCACCTAATTTTTTTTCAGCCAATACTCATGTACATGCTGATCATGTGACTGGAACTGGTGAACTGAAGAAGTTAATACCAACTTGTGAAAGTGTTATTTCCTTATGTAGTGGAGCTCAAGCAGATAAATATGTGAAATCGGGGGATGAAATACAGTTTGGAAGGTACTCTGTTGAAGTTAGACAAACTCCAGGGCATACTAATGGTAAATATTACATAACATTTTGTATTATATGATATTGGATAATGGGTGAAACTTTTAATGAATTCAATATAGTTTTATAAATATAGTTCAAAATATAATTTTTGTGTACCTGTATCATAGATAAGAGATATTAAAGACCAAACTGCTTTTACAAAAAAAAAAAAGTTAACAGAAAAACCACACAGTTAATTTGCCTCTGGTGTTCATAATATAGGAATTAAATATATTATTTTAGAATTTTAAAGTAAATATTCAATACTTTTGGCCATAATTTATAACAAATAATTTGAGTGGTAAGATAACGAATTTATGCACATGTGTATGATGTAACATTTAGGTTGTATTAATTGAGATTTTAAATTTGTACTATGATATACTGTCATTAATGCTTTTCTGCGAATATCTTTTTATAAACCACAGATAATAATCTATAATAATATAAAAGTGATAAATTGAATAATTTATCATTGCCTCGAAATCAAATCCTTTCTGAAACTCAATACTTGTCTATTGTAGTTTTACTGCATTGTTTGCATCAAGTAGTCAGCAGTCACAGCTAAACACTTGTAGAGTGTAATAAATACAATTTTTCTATTTATTTTGAAAATATATTTTTATGAGTTCAAGGAAAATACAATAGATACCTATGGTGCCTGGATGAAAAATAGATTCTTTTTAATTGGAAAGGGTAGAAATTTCCAAGCTATAAGTATGTGAAAAAATAATTACTATTTGTTAGTTGTGGTGAGATAGGCTGTTTATGATAAAAATGAGCAAGTAAATTTTTTAACAATACCTGTTATTAAGTTTATCTCTAAAAAAAAAATGTAGAAAAGTATCAAAACTTTAATTATATAATAATTACATTTCTTAAATAACTGCTAATAAATACTTAAAAACAAGCACACAAGTAAATAAATAAATATACCGTATTTCAAAAATATTAATGAATTAATAAAATAATAGAGAATAGTGCAAAAAATATATTATAAAGCAGGTACCTAGTTTTATAAATGCTATTAAAATAACTTATACGTCTTATTAATATAATATAAGTATGTATTGATGTATTTTAGGTATTATTAATGTAATTTTTTAACCAAAATGTCAACATTTTAACATTTATGTAATTTAGATAAGGTTTCAAGAAAATAATAATACAATTTTAAAATAAAATTTAAAATTTAATTTAAATTGCTTACATATTTTTGTTTGTTAAATAAAATAAAAACATACTGCAATAAATGTATAACAATTGGCATAACCTAATTTTGACGGTAACATTTTTTTTTTATCACGTATTTACCTATAGTAAAAATATTTTAGTTTCATATAAAAATGGATTTCCAAAAAAGTTTACAAATATTATCTACTTGATGCAAACAATGCAGTAAAACTTAAATAGATATTTCAGTTAAAAATAGATATGATTTATGAGCCGGGTTGGAATTTTATAGCATTTGCAAATTTCTAATAAAATGCTTAAGAAATAGCACAGTAAGCATACAATTTGTTTTATGATTCATAGTTGTATCAGTAATATAAATTTGTATCAATATAAAATCTTGATTATAATTTACAATATTTATTAATGTAAAAAATGTATAATTTTACAATCAAGTTATATAAATTGTACTAAGAACAGTACCTATATTTTAATGTAGTATATGTATATTTATCTATATTCTTTCAAATATTGCTGTAAAATGTTTTGTTATCAAATTCGAAAAAGTATATATTATAATGTAAACAAGAGAGATTAAACAATTTTAAATTTACATTTTTATAAAGTAAATAATTAATGTTTATAATTTATAAATAATTATTATAGTTTTTGTAAGTTCTGTAAAAAAATTTTTAAAATTATGTTTTTGATTCCAGGCTAAATAAATTTTTTTTGCCTATGACTACAAATTTTTAATTTTATATAATTTGCATTTACGTAATACATATAAAAATTAATATAATTAATTAATTTCATGTATTTTATACTAACCTAATATTGTGATCTAAATCATGTTTCTGATGTATAGGTTGTGTTACATTTGTTTGTCACGATGAAGCAATAGCCTTCACTGGAGATTGCTTGTTGATTGGTGGTTGTGGACGCACTGACTTTCAAGAAGGAGATCCTGAAACGTTATACTCTTCTGTTCATGAACAAATATTTTCGTTACCCGATTATTATAAAGTATATCCGGCACATGATTATACGGGTATGTTCTAAAAAGTGAAGATAAAGTTTTGTAATTTCAATGCATAGATTACAGGTCATACAGCTATTGTGTTTGAAACATTAATACACTATAAACTAATATTTGTGTTTTAAAAAAAGTGTAGTATTCCTTATATTAATCAAACCCAGTATCTAAATCCTTATGTCTTCTGAACTCATTTCATTATTAAATATAAGAATATTGTCTTAACTTAGAACTAGTTAAATAGTATGTAATAAGTTACCGATAAGGGTCAGGCTTAGACGTTAGCTACTGTACTTAAAAAGTACATTATTATATATACCTAACTTAAAAATTACTTATATACAAAACAATGCAGTATTTTTTAAGTAAATAAATAATAGGTAATATAAAACTAGAATGGCAATGTATACATCAAAAAAAAATGTAAATGTCATCAATATCTTGGTCTTATTATCATATTGTTAATTATACCTATATTAATTTCAGGTCAAACCGTTTCTACAATTGGAGAAGAAAAGACTTATAATCCACGACTCTCTAAGTCTTTAGATGAATTTATTGAAGTGATGAACAATTTAAATTTAGCATATCCTAAAAAAATTGGTTAGTAACAATTATAGTATATTATATTTAATCTAAAATATAATCAATTATGATATTTTTACAGTGTAAATGTGATATTATTTTATTTTCAGATGTTGCTTTACCACTCAATTTGAAATGTGGTATTCAAGACGAATTGAAAAACAATGATTGACAATTTTATTTTACCATGATAATATAAAATATTGAATTTGTTTAAAATGTTATTCTATTAAAAATTAAATAATTACAATTAAAATGATCCTGTTCTATTTTTTTCAGAACTATCTTAAAATCACATGCTGAATATTTAGTACTTACTCGGATATACCTTACTTAAAAAATGTATTATTCAACCATTTATAGTTAATACAATATATACACATTTTTTTTTTTTTATGAACCTATCAATATTTAAAATTATTTATATATTTAAATGTTAAGTTTTTTAAACTAGTTAAACTTCAATACTTGTTAAAACTGTTGTTTAAAATGAAGGCTTTAATTCATAATATTTTAAATAATATGATAAATTTTTAAAAATTCCAACTTCCATTTAACTAAAATTATTCCAGACAAATACAATTTTATACAGATCATTTTTATGCATCAACAATATGTCAAACAAAATTAATGAATTCTTATAATAATATAATAATCAATTCCATAATTAAAAGTTAATCTTATAAAAATGGAAACTTTGTTACTTTACTGGACACCCATTTTTTGCAATTTTTTTTTTAGTATTATTTAGTTAACGATACTGGAAACGATGGTGAAGTCAGTATGTGGCGGTTGACCTTAGTTTCAAAGTTTTGGCCTAATGATATTCTCTATTTTGCGATTTTTCTTTCACTCATCATTCTAATTTACTTTGCCTATTACGAATATTTACTTTTTTTTTTAGAAACTTATGTCCAATAACGAGTTAGGAACTATGGCAAAATCAAAATTTGTTAGCCGGTCAGTCTAGTGATGTACAAATTCCTAGGAATATAATTCATTTTTAAATATTGATCAATGTTCCAGTGTTAAATTAAAGTAATAGTTGTAAATGACCCAAATGACAAACGGTATAAACCTAACTTAAATAAGTTATATACTTAAATTTCACGATAAAATATAAGTAGCATAAGTATTTACTGGCTCTAGTCGCCAGACTTGATGATCAATTATAGTAACATATTTTTTTTTTTTTTTTTTGTTCTTCAGGGTAATGAGCCCCACTGAACATGTTTGTGTGGTAGCCCACGACAATTTGAAATATAAATTTTTTAAATAGTTTATATAAATTAAATAATAACAATTTGTAATATACATTTCTCACATAACTAGAATATTGATATAAATAAATACATATTTTCTTTTTTTTTTGTTTATAGAAAATAATATGATAATATAAAGCTAAATTTAACAATAATTACTAAAATCGTCTAGCTAATGTAATAACTAATAAGTAATGTCGTAATCTTAGACATTTGTTTAAAGTCTATATTTTGTTTTTGTAATAGCCAAAGTTTTTTTTTTTTTTATTTTAATTCGAAATATACAATCTATAACAGATTACATAATAAGCATATATGGTAAGGTACAGATGACATGAGTATACAAAATACAAAAGAGTAAAGAAGCCACCCAATGATGACACTTTAATGTTGATAGTTATATATGAAAATGTCAATGTATTATATAATATTTAATTAGTTAATATTTTTTTTTTTTTTTTTTATTTCTATGTTAAAATTTGTAACAGGTCTCTGCACTATTTACTTTTTAATCGTCTAGGAGGACTGCCGGGAATTGAGAGGGAGGAAAGGTTTTTAATTAAAGGATTTGAGTGGGAGGAAAGTCAGTTGTGGAATCTTTTGTAAAAGTTTTTTACTTCCTCGTGGATAGTTTTTAATTTTAGGTCTGTATGGAGAGTATGGTTAGTTTTGTATGGGAGAGCATTTATTAATTTTCTTAGCGCAATGTTTTGAAAACATTGAATTTTATTTAAATTTGCCTTTTTTGCACTTCCCCATAGCTGTATCCCGTACGTCCAGACTGGTTTCAGTAGTGTTTTGTAGATGAGGAGTTTGACATGAAGGGAGGTGTGTTTATTAGAGACTAGAGGTTTGAGGATACGAAAGCGGTTGTTCAGTGATAGTCTTTTTGCTCTAATATGGTGGGCCCAAGTTAATCTATTATCTAATGTAAGACCAAGGTATTAAACTGAAGGAGAGGATGGGATTGGAGCACCGTGCAGAGTTACCTCAGGGGTAAGGTCTAAACTGGTCTAAGCGTAAAGGTGGTGTGTATAGACTTGCTATGATTTAATTAAATCTCCATTTGGTATACCAATTCTCCATAAGGTCTAGGTGGGTTTGAAGGTTTGCGGAGGCTATGAATGGATTGTCATTCATAGATATAATTACCTTGTCATCGACATAATCTGCTACTGATGTATTTGGTGTGATTGGTTGATCTGCGGCGAATATATTGTAGAGAATGGGGGATAAAATGCCGCCCTGTGGAACCCCAGCACTTACCTATACTGCCAATACTTGATGTGTCAGAGCCGTATCGTATTTGGAAGGTACGTTCAGTTAGGTATGATTTGATTAGAAGATAGAAGAGTGAAGGAAGAAATGTTTTTAGTTTATGTAGGAGAACATCGTGTCAGACTCTATCAAAAGCTTGTGATATGTCTAAGAAAGCTGCTGTACAAAATAATTTTTTTTCCAGAGAGAAAGATATTGTATCTACTACCCTATGCAGTTGATGGGTCGTCGAATGCGAAGAGATACTCTCCATGTGTGAGAGTACGGAGCTTTCTCAGGGCTCCGCACACCACCCACAACTTGAGGGGAACACTCAAGTTGTGACCTACGAGCCGCGCCGCGCGACAAGCCTAAGATCGTTGCGGCGGAACTCGTAGGTTTTAACACCGTATGGGGTAATGAAACGCCATTTAATAAGTTAATATTAAAAACTGAATTTATGGTAATAATAATAATAATTTGTCTTAAGCAATAAACATGACAATAATAATGAGAAGTGGCTCCCGCACACAATATTACAATGGCTGAATAATTTCGATATAATAAATAATAATTGTTTTGGCACATGGCAGTTATAGGAACATAATAATAAAGGGGTAAAGAATAATTTGGCACACACGATTAGTGCATTATAATATCAGGTCGGCCCACGAGGCCCGCCATCACCTGTGGTGATAATAATAATAATAATAATAATAATAATAATAATATGGCCACCGTTGGGTTACCGCCTGATATTGCATATGTAGTGAAAAATGATAAATAATAATCTAAAGAAATATACTGTAACAGCCGTAGATGAAAAGGACCTGGGGGGGGGGGATATTATTTTGATACGTTACACTCGAGATGTCGTGTTGAGTTGTGGCCTTTTTGACAGCAGGACGGGTGGGCTGAGTAGCCGCCAACACACACGCGGTTGGGCATCACCCATCGTGCAGCCGAAAACGATACTTGGCCGGAGCTCTGACCACCATTAGGCCCGTGGAGTATACTTAGCCCATCATGTTTTTGGTACAGCCGGTCTTGGAAAAAATTATAATAATATTGACGAGAGCCGGACGTAGTCGAGTCGGGAGCTGCGATTGACAGACGTTGTGTCGGCTCACGACCGTTGGGAAAAAAAAAATAATTTTTTTTCCAGAGAGAAAGATATTGTATCTACTACCCTATGCAGTTGATGGGTCGTCGAATGCGAAGAACGAAAACCAAACTGGTAGTCCGGCGGAACTTTCTTGTCAGAAATTATTGGTAGGAAACGTTTAAGTATAAGTTTTTCTAGAATTTTCGCAAGGAAGGGAAGAAGGCTTGGTCTGTAGGAGTAATAGCCAAAGTGAAATTTTTTTTAAAAGAATCTTAAAGGAGTTGCTATGCTCAATTTCTAAAGGTAATATATTTTACATTTTTGGACCAATATATAAGTATGTGGATTGTGTTAATTTTTTGTGCAAGTAGGTACTTTGATATTACGTATTTGTCTAGTGTTATGTCCCTGTTCAGTTTTACAAATAAGGTTATTTTTAATTATGTAAAGTACCGACGCTTTATAAAATATTTTGTGTGGTATTTTGAGTTTTTTTTTAGAATTTTATTTTGTATTTTGTTTAATGGATCTATAGTTGTATCATACTTACCTTCCCACTTAGAAATACCATTAATTATGGATTTTATTGATGCTTGTTAAATGCTCTAATTGTTTTAATTTCTAAGATGTTTGTTAATTTTTTAAATGCATATATAAGTTTTCTTAATTTATTTGTTACACGTTTTATGTGGTCATTCCATTTTATAAGATTATGATTTATGATACATTTTTATACCTAAATAATTACAATTTTTAACCATTTTTATAAAAGTTTGGCATGTACGTATTATTTTTGATTTAAACACACATTTTCATGTAAACATAGATTTGTTTTAATTGGTTGATTCGAATTAACTATATAATGTAATAATATGTAGGTTTTTTCTAAGTTAAGGAATAAATTATTTTCACATAGCGACTTTTGGATTTTACTCATGTCGGAATGAACACTAGCAAATACTTCATCCCATGACTACACGTTTATACTATTCAGGCCGCTCGGCCTACTAAAACTCTTCTGGTCAGCGCATCTCCCACCAAAAAACAGGCGATACTACGATCAACGACAGCTGCCGATGACTGACATAGCCAATCACGGAACTCACAGCGATCGCCTGAGGGGTCAGCCAGTAAGCGGGCGGCTCAGTCTACGTGCGCGAAAGCGTTTCAATCTTAACCTGCATAGAGTATATATCTGAATACATAGTGATTAGTGCCTAACGGCTACAGACGCAAATCTTGGTTTTAATCAAAAAATAATTTGATATACAACTATACAAGTCTAACGAAAAAAAAATCAATATTTGTAATAAGCGCAGTAAACCAAAGTGATTCGAGAATGCATAAAAATCGCAAAATAGAGAACTCCATTGGGCCATAACTTCGAAACTAAGTCCGATTTTTATAATGGATCATTTAAAAAGACCTTTAGCCAAATATTTCTAAATAATATTTCTCTAGCAGACAATCATTTCTCAAACACAGAAACATTCACAAACTTCCGAATTCGTTAATTATCACGCTAAGGGTCACTTGTACCGTCACGGTTATTCTTCGATTACGCTTAATAAACTGATAACAGATTTTATAACCGGCCGATTAAACTGCGGTTAACTTTAATTGGAGATGGTACAG